GACGGGGGCCATGGGCCGCCAGGGAGACCCGGCGACGGGGGCCATGGGCCGCCAGGGAGACCCGGCGACGGGGGCCATGAGCGGCCAGGGAGACCCGGCGACGGGGGCCATGAGCCGCCAGGGAGACCCGGCGACGGGGGCCATGAGCCGCCAGGGAGACCCGGCGGGGGGGGCCATGAGCCGCCAGGGACGGGGGCCATGAGCCGCCAGGGAGACCCGGCGACGGGGGCCATGAGCCGCCAGGGAGACCCGGCGACGGGGGCCATTGAGCTGCCCCGGTCGATGTGGAAGCTGATAGAAGAGTTCGTGTCGGTCAGCGAGAGAGATGAAATCAGGCAGGTCCTGGGAGAAGCAGCGGTGGACCTGAGCCTGGACCTGCACGCGGAGGTGGGGGCACGCCTCAGTACAGCCCCATCGTTCCGCCTCCCAGAGTGGGTGGGCACGTGGTGGTGAGGGTTCGATCCCCAGTAGCTCAGGGGTCGATTCCCGGGCGGGGTCCGGGGCGCGACGTTGGGCAAGTTTCCTTGCTGCTCGCGCGCACACGCACACGCACACGCGCGCCTCTGTTTACCCCACTGGTCAGTAGGAACCCGGTTGTTAGTTAGTCGATTGGCGGATCGCTTTTCCGGGGGGTAATAATCCCTCCAAAGAAAAAAAATACCATTGTTATCAGAGGCCGCCCCAGGCACGTCCCTGGGAATAGAATGAATAGAATAACAATCCCTCCACAAAAAAACCAATAATAAATTGGTCATTTTCAATCCACGACTGTTTGTGGGACATTGCTGTGCGCAATTGGCTGCCGCGTTCGCCCACAAATATACAGTCAATTCACTTTACAGTGTGTTCTGTGAAGCGCTTTGGGACGTCCTCCCGACGTGAAAAGCGCTATATCAAATGCAAGGATTATTATTATTATTATTATTATTATTATTATCTGGGAAGCAGCATCACCCCAGACCTAGAGAGGCAGAAAGCAGTCAGTCCGCAGCCTGGACGAGACCAGTTTATTTTAAAATAACAATAACCATAAATTGGTCAATTCAACCCACGGCTGTTCGTGGGGACACCGCTGTGCGCAGTCGGCTGCCGCGTTTCGCCCGCGACACACGCAGTCACTACACTTTACAGTATGCTCTGTGAGGCGAGTCCTCTAACCGCTGAGCTACAGGACTCCACACTCTCTAAAATAAAATAAAATAATAAAATAACTGACGCTAGTTATTTTATTCGTGTTGCGTAGCGTTTAAAAGTGTTTCCTTGTTTAATTTTGCTGCTGAGAGCCAGGTCAGCGAGGTCTGTCGGTGGGCTTTTATTTAGGAGGCGATTCTTTCCGTGCCGCAGTGTAATAATAATAATCCTTGCATTCGATATAGCGCTTTTCACGTCGGGAGGACGTCCCAAAGCGCTTCACAGAACACACTGTAAAGTGAATTGACTGTATATTTGTGGGCGAACGCGGCAGCCAATTGCGCACAGCAATGTCCCACAAACAGTCATAGATTGAAAATGACCAATTTATTATTGTTTTTGTTTTGGAGGATTATTATTAGGCTCTGTGTGGAGTAAGGAAACTTGCCCAAGGTTTCGCCCTCTGCCTGGAATTGAACTCAGGTCTCTCACTTGCAAAGCGAGTGCTCTAACACTGAGCTACAGGACTCCACTCCAGTGTGTCTGGAAAATGGGGAGCTGTTGTTTCTGGCTACAGTCTTGTCTCTCTGGGGAGGAGAACATCTTCAGATGGGCTGGTTTTCAAAACCCTTTGTGGCCTGGAGAAAATTTTCCAGATCGCACAGCGGGTCTCGACACAAAGATGAACGTAGGCTTCAGAAGTGGGAAGGATTAGGGAATTTTGTCGGGTGCGAAAGTATTTTGCATCGTCAGAGCAAACGGGGTCATGTACCCTGAATCCAGACACCACCATTGATGACAATGAACTTTCCATTAAAAAGACCTTTAACCTTCAACCTTGTGGAGTCCTGTAGCTCAGGGGTTAGAGCACTCGCTTTGCAAGTGAGAGACCTGAGTTCAATTCCAGGCAGAGGGCGAAACCTTGGGCAAGTTTCCTTACTCCACACAGAGCCTAATAATAATCCCTCCAAAACCAATCAATAATAAATTGGTCATTTTCAATCTACGACTGTTTGTGGGACATTGCTGTGCGCAATTGGCTGCCGCGTTCGCCCACAAATATACAGTCAATTCACTTTACAGTGTGTTCTGTGAAGCGCTTTGGGACGTCCTCCCGACGTGAAAAGCGCTATATCAAATGCAAGGATTATTATTATTCAAGTCTCAACCATGTCATTGATCTAAAACCTTCCTGTCTTTTGAGGAAAATCATGGTCAGAATTTTACCCCTTCCAACAACAACAACAACAAATGACATTTGTATAGCGATATGATTACTGGACAATAGTTAACTGCTGCTCAGTGAAATAGAAATTAAAATGTCAACCATTTTGCCTGCAGGATGCATCACAAATCTAAGACGAGGATTTCCACGTGATCCGGTTTTAATTATATTTAAATGATTTAAAACGTCAGATTATTCAAGATCCACTTTTTTTCTGCCTCTCCACCCCGAGAGACTTGCCTGACGCACAGTTGCAGTGCAGTCATACCCCGCTGAGGTATTTAATAATAGACTGCTTTGGGTATCTGCTCCAGGCAAGAACGGCTTCCTGAAGTTATCTGGATCACAGTGGTCCATTCAAACTTTGTGACTTCCTACGAAGAATTATTGGGCCATGTTTAGTTCATGGCAGTAAGTGTTCAGGCCTGGAATCTATGGCTGGAGCTCAGTGAAGTGCTTACCTGGTTTAAGTCCCTTGAGGTAATGCAGGGTCTCATTTACAAAGAATCCTATAATAAGTTATCTTAAATAACCTGTGAAGGTATAATTCAGTAATTGCATAAATCATTGTGTAACATGCGAATCTCCCAGGGCAGACACACAGGAGAAAGCGGATCTTGTATAGCTTTATGTTTTAATGATTTAATAATTAAGACTGGTTCAGAGTGAAACCATTCTCTCATTCGTGATGAATGCAAAAACATTGAGATTTTAATGGCAATTTTATATATCGCAGTCTAAGAGGCATTGGGCCTCCAGGAGTTCGCTTTATGTTGGAATGAACACAAACATGTGTTTTGAAGATTAATTTCTTGTTTAGAATGCGGGAGCTTTACTGAGAAGTTTTTTTACTTAGAAAATTACAGCACGGAAACGGGCAATTTGGCCAAGAATAATGCTATCCTAATGTGAGATATGATGACCCGCCCTTCTTTGCCTTCCTTCCCTCTTTACGTGACCGAAATGTTAAGAACAAGTTATTGAGATCCTGATATCTTGTGATGTATAAGGTTACCCGGTGATTGTATAGCTGCACTGCTGAACAATGAATTGGGAAAGCAGTGGAGTTTGAAGTGGTCCTTCTGCTATTTTGTGGTTTGAAATAGCCTTGAATTAATGCTTTCCAATGTTTTTAATCTTCTTACAATCTGCATGACTTGAGGCGTTTGTATCTTGCATGAAATCTCTTAAGTTAAATACTGTAATGATACAGGATGTAAACGCAGTGATGGACTGTGGCTTGTTAAACTCAGTAGACTGAAAAATGCCTGTAACTCTCCTCAGACTTTTTAGATTGGATCATGGTGCATATTTGGGGATAGAGACGAGAATCTGTTCACTGCTTTCCCCCACGTTAATTTAATATTTCCTTTCTGGGAGGGGGTGCTGTCTGCCTCAATAAACTGAGGATGAAATTATACTTAAAACTGATTCCTATTATTTTGGTTTCTACAAAATGTGTTTTTTCTGGTGCCCATCGAATCATGAAATGGTGCCTTAGCAGCTAAGGTTTGCTAAAAAAACAACTGTTTCCAATACCCATGGTCTCAGACTATAATGCTGAAGAGAATTGCTGGTGTTGTAGGATGAGTTTGTACCCACTGTGTGTGTCCCAGAAGAAATAGACATTTTATTGAATTTTGTTCTCAAGTCTTAAATTTTATTTTTCAGCTGAAACTGCTGTTTGACTCTCGAGTTCTAATGTACTTACTCTGTCACGCCGTGTAGTTATCTCTCTACATTTTTTGTTCTCCAAACATCAAAGAAAAGCAGACAATTTGGCTTAATGTTAATGCTTTAACCAAAACAATGGAACTGTCTAGTTCAGAATCGAGCCTTTTTATGTGTTGTGGTAATACACTGACTAAGCAGACAGTGGGCTTAAGCCCAAGTTTAAAATTCACATTGTGCCCATGTTCTTCCCACAGTGAACTGTCTACTGATAGTTTTACCGAGCTGGTGAAATTCCTATCACCGTACTATTTAAGGTGCTGTCTAGGGGGGAATTCAGTCTTAGAAATTACAGGGATTTAATTGATTGAGCTGCTGGAGGTCTGCTCTTATTCAGTGTGATAGCGTTTTATCAAGGGTTGTACTCTATAAAGTGTCTGAGGAAATGCATGAGATTTCCGTACTCTTCACAAAGCCCAAACAAATAAGAATTATAAATTGAACATTAAAGAGAAGGAGGCATTGGAAGCCCTAATTAGTTTTGATCTTGGAAAGGTGACACGATTGTTAGGATATGGTGGGCAGGTCCTCTCGGGAAGGAAACGTTGGGAGAGCAAGTAACCCTGGGATACTTTGGTTTACCTTCAGACATCTGGCCCCATGGCACCACTAGCGGAGGCCTAAAAGCCATCCGAATCCTGTGCTCCGCCTAATGGAAGAGGAATGCTTAAGGGAAGCTCCTTGAGTCGAAGAGCAATTTATCCCAATGAGGACCTGCCCACCATAGCCTACCAATCGTGTCACCTTTCCAAAATGGCTTACGGCCCTGGAATTAGTAATGTGTGGGCTTTTGAGAGCAAATTGAAAACCAAGCTCCAAATCTCGTAACAGAGATTTACTGCAACCAATTTAGGACATTATGGAAGTCAACAGAAGCCACAGGCTAAAATGTGAAAGAATGTTACTTCTAATCTCCCAGTAGCCTAAGTCTTGATATCGGTTGTATTCATCCTAGAAAATGAAATAATTGGGGCAGTACATTTTAATTGAATAATCTACTTTTCCCCTCAGTCTAAGATCTGCAGTTCAAATGACCTGGAATTATGTTCTGCATTAGGCTTTTTATTGTTACTGGGTTTTGGTTACTTCTATTTTTTGTTCTGTTTTTAAAGGATAAATCAGAGAAGGACTTGGATAATGTGGAGTCCTGTAGCTCAGTGGTTAGAGCACTCGCTTTGCAAGTGAGAGACCTGAGTTCAATTCCAGGCAGAGGGCGAAACCTTGGGCAAGTTTCCTTACTCCACACAGAGCCTAATAGTAATCCCTCCAAAAACCAAAAAACAATAATAAATTGGTCATTTTCAATCTACGACTGTTTGTGGGACATCGCTGTGCGCAATTGGCTGCCGCGTTCGCCCACAAATATACAGTCAATTCACTTTACAGTGTGTTCTGCGAAGCGCTTTGGGACGTCCTCCCGACGTGAAAAGCGCTATATCAAATGCAAGGATTATTATTATTATTATATATTATTATAATGTGATGTGAGCAAGCTACCACACTTAAACTCGTCACAGACTGGAGGATAAGGTCAACATTGTCCAGCCTTAAGGAAGACCAGAGATTAAAAGATTTGTTTTGCCCCAACGGAATAGCAGAATGTTGTGTTCACTTAAACACTTTAAAGAGGGGCTTGAATGCATTCTTGTTAAGAAGGGAACTGAAAGTAAAGGGATAAGTATAGATCAGTTACCGCACAGAGTATGAGAAAACTTTGGTTGAATGAACAGAAATAGGTTATAATGTAAGATTGATATCCAACTCAATTATCTGCGGGTCAAGAGAGATTTTACAGTTTGCTCATCTTGGAAGTTTCAATTCTGGTTCTTAGGAGAATTGAATGCATTAGGCAGTCTAAAATTACATTGAAACTGTTTAAAAATAAATGACTATTCCATATTTATACCCTTCTGAGTTGCTGAACAATTTTAGTTTAGCAGGAAATAATATCACCTGTTCAGGTAGAAGTTCAAGAAAGCACTGATTTCAAAACGCACAAAAGTGTAATGTGCCACATAATTTGTTGTCATTTTTACCTGTCAGTACTGCATTAGCAAAAGAGCCTACCCACTACAGGATGTTTTTTTTTATCCTGTGGTTGGGTACCTAATATTTAGCCAAACTGTTATTAAGTGTTGGTTTGGCAACCCAACCTGGGAGTCATGTTGAAATGCCTTATGGTAATTAAAGGATGTAAGAAGGTATTTGGCTGGTGGTACAGTGGTCAGTAATACTAGTGGTTGGAGTATTTGCTTCCTAGGACTGTGGTTACATTTTTGAATCCCAAGGGATGAATCCCAGGTTGCTTAAGCGTGCGAAACAGGCTTCAGTGAACATCTGGGAGGATGGGCTCCGAACTTAAAGGGGGTTAAAGAAGAGAATCTCCGAAGGCAATGCAGGTTTTCTGGCAAAAACTACCACAAACGACGTGACACATATTTTTATGCATTTTGGAATTAATGCTTTCAACAACAACAGCAATTTGCATTTATATAGCGCCCTCCACGTGGGGTAGCGTTCTGGAGCGCTTTCAAAATGCTGGGCAAGAATCTATAACATGCTCCAATATTATTACCCAATAGAGTACAATCTTTTGGGCTGATCATTATTTTGTTCACGATACAAGTATAATAAATGCCTTTTTGATTCATTCAGCGCTCTAATGCCTTATTTGTTTTTCAGGTGGCCATCCTCATGGAAATCTGGCATGAGATGAAGGAGGGCCAGGCCCTGGCTCATTCGCAGGACCCGATGTCAGTGCTACTGGAGCCTGCTACCATCAAGAGTCTTCTTCGCCACGATATTCAGCTGCTGCTTTTAAACATTCAGAAGAAAGCACTGGATGAGGGCAGGTATAGTACTCACTTATAGGGCTCGGGTTCCAAGAACTTGGTGCAATAATGATGCAATAAAATTGCAGATGTTGTTTCTCAAAGGTGTTTTCAAGGAAAAGAAACAAAAGTGGTGTGAGTGCATATTGGAGTGAGAGAGAGAGGGAGAGTGTTGATGCTTGTGGGAGAGGGAATGGAATGTAGGTAGGTAGGAAGAAACTAGATGTTCATGTTGGAAGTTGTCCAGTCTGGGGTAGTCTGGGTGTTGAGCTGAGCCCAAATTCACCCTTCTCAATACAGCTGGTGCAGTTCTTGTGTTATTCAAGATTATTTTTTCTTAATTAGATTTGACTTGTTTTAAAATCTCACCAACAATTGATTTAATTGCATTAAAAGGGACTTGATGAGATGGTGGTCTAGTAGTTGGTAATATGCTGTATGGTGTGGTATAAACCATGAAGTTTCACCAGTTCAACCCCTGATGAGTACAAAGCTAATTATCTTATAATAATAATAAAAATTAGTAATAATCCTTGCATTTGATATAACGCTTTTCATGTCTTCTCGACGTCTCAAAGCGCTTCACAGAATAGACTGTAAAGTGAATTGACTGTATATTTGTGGGCGAAACGCGGCAGCCAATTGCGCACAGCAGCGTCCCTCAAACAGTCATGGATTGAAAATGACCAATTTATTATTGTTTTGTTTTGGAGGGATTATTATTATCTTAGCTCTGATCGTGGTGGAGTCTAGCTGATAGTCTAATCCTGCTTGGAACTGATGAGAAAATATCAAAGGAGAATGTTTCTAAGATTTCTGCGGTTCAATATTAATAGAAGATTAGTTTCTGTAATAATAATCCTTAAATTAGACATCGAAGTTGTCTCAAAGCACTTCACAAGAATATACTGTTAAGTGCAGTGACTTTGTATTTTGTAGATGAGTGCCTATCGAGCTCAGAGGGAAAGTTGTCCTGTGTTGCTTTTGTGGCTTCCCAAATTTAATAATATCACGACCAGGGGCTTGGGACAGGGAACATTATCTTGGATGAACAATGGGACGGGATGTGAGGGAGGTAAAAGTAGAAGAGAAAATAAAAACGCACTAAAGTCGGGGTGGAGGGGGGGAGGGGATAAAATCAAGTGCCTCTGGGACGCAACCCCTCATGAAGGGTGCCATATAAGTGCAAGTTGTTGTTGTTGTTGATGCTCTGTTGTTTCTTGGTGCTTTTTAACAAATGCTTTTATTGAAAAGTGAGAACTTAGTCATGGTAAATTATCAAACTAATTGCTCTGTTGGCAGGTATTTAGACTGATTTACAGTAAGCGAGGATTTCCCTTTCAAATGGACACTAATGCCGTTTGACATCTTTAGCTGCAATTAACAGCAGGAAATTTTAACACCAGAACTATTCATGTGGACTTCAAGATTAATATGGAAGCAATTCCTTTGATAGTTATCCAGAACTTTTAGGCTTTTCTTATTCAGTTGCTTTGATCTATGACTTGAAAAACGTCAGCTGATCCATGAAGATTAAGGTTGTGGGCATCGCTCCTTCATGTTACTTGCGATTCCTTTGCCCATTTGTGGTGTTTATGGGGATGTGATTTTCATAGTCACAGAGGTTCACCATCGAATGTTCGTTACCTATCTTTAGTGAGAGAGGGCTCACTGTATGGGAAGTGAATTCTGTTTTGTAGCTGGTTATTTTATGTAGTTCAAGTTCAAGGCAGTAAAAAATCTATTTGGAGGAATTAATTTTTTAGAGGTCTAATGTTACATACTATACCGTTAGTGGACCCAATATCGTGTGATCAATATAATTTGTTGATCTTTTGTCTGAAAGGCACTATATGCGGTAAATGTATGGATACTTCCCGACCGAAACCAAAGTGGTTGTAGGACGATAGTGAGTGTTACTTTGAAACGTTTATTTATTTTTAAAAGGCTCCCGTTGATGCAATTGCAGCTCCAATCGTTGAATCCAACAGAATCTGAGAGGCACGTGTCGGTTGGGAAGAGAGGGGGAGGAAAATGGACATCATTGCAGTGACTATCCATAAAACTGATTTTACGTAAAAATAATGCTGACAATGCAATTCCACAACTGTCACAAAGGATGTATCTTACTCTTTGTAGGAATGAGAACGAAGCCCTTTCAAGTTATAATCGCAGCGTTGTCAGTTTTGCACTAGGACAGAGTTGGCCTGGAAGTGGATTGAGCAGGCCTGGCAGCACAGACCGCTCAAAAGACCGAATGTCACCACAGAGGAGACCCAATACTAGTGAGAGTCAAAGGTCAGTACAGTCCAGTCCAGGTGTTGGCATTGAATGAGATTATAAGAAAACCATCTTTGTTTCTTATAAGGCTTTGTCTTGATGTTTTCTGCCTTAATAAAATAAATTCCAAGTACCCAATTTTGTATTAGTTTGTGTTATTGATAGAGCCACCATCCTATGACATGGTAGGAGGCCATTTAAACCACATGCAGGATGACTTCTGTTATAATATCTTGTGCTAACCATATGTTGTGCTAAATTGCCCTGTGATTGTCAATACTAATCGCCCTGTTTTTTCCTTCAATGAATGAATCTATCCTAATCCAAATCCCTCACAGTTTCTCCATCTCTTCAACACCCTTTGTCCCCACGTGTCCATCTAATATCCTTATAAAAACCCAGTCGACTCAACATTTAAACTTGGCAGTTAATTGCTTGGTTACCCTCTTCAAAAATGATTGTCCCTAGCAGCCCCCTTCATGCTCCTGGTTATATAACCGTGCCCACAATCCATGCCCTCTTGTCCTCAACAGAGTTACCAGTGGAAATAGTGCTTCACCATTGATCCTCTCAATTGCTTTCATTATCTTAAATACTGCTGCAAATTGTTTTCATTCTAATATTTGTGATTTTCCATTTTTTGTGTACTGTTCTGGGTCTATCTCACTCGGACGTCTACCTTACTTTGCTTGAGAGGATTTTCTCAATGCTGTTCTATTATTGTTCACCCAAGTGAATCTCTCTTTTTAATTTCCTATTCCTCACTGCCTGGCTCCCGCCCATTTACCAGCTACACAACTTCAAATACAGTGGCCAAGAGATGCATATTTATTTTGTGTTTCTGCAAAATAAAAATTAAAAATTAATAAATTAGAAAAAGGTAACCAATTGAAAAAGGTAAGTCACATTTAACTTACTAGATACATAGGACCTGATGAGAGAGGGTGGGCAGAAAGATTCCTCTGACTACCCTACTTTTTTAAACAAAGCGAAAATAGCTTTGTTTTGGGCTCTGATCCACATTTTGCAGAACCAGTCAGTCAGAGAGGATTTAGCCCATTATATTCTATCATCACTGGCAACGCTGCAGCATCTCCATTTGTATCTGACCAGAGACATCAATTCATTAATGATCGATGTGGTTTACAAAGGAGGTATTTGCATCTTTCCCTGGTGCTTCCAATAGTCTACCTTATTGGGTGTTGCTCGATCAAAGCCTGTGCAATCAGGTTATTATTCTTTTTTTTTGTTGAAAGAATTGTTGTGTTGGTGTTTATGAGGCCAGAATATATTGAAGTGAATAGGGTCCCTGTTTGTGCCAATAAGTAACATTTATTGGTGCAAAAAGAATAGATTCCTGCCTAAGGAACATTGAGTGATGTTCCATTTTGCGTCGTTTCAGAATCCTGCTTGAGCGAGTGATCACATTATAGATGTGCTAGGCATACCGTCTTCTTAAAATAAATTTCCCTCTTGTCGTCTTTTGGAAAGGTTTTAATTTGCCACTTTGGTATTGAGCCCTTTAACCTTTCTGCTTAGTAGTACAAAGGGCTGGAGTCAAAGTGCATCTCTGTGGCGTGCCCGGCAGGAGAAACACATCAGCACATTCTCAAATGAGAAAAAGAAGTGGGCGAGGGTTGGGGGGGGTGTGGGGGAGAGAGAAACGAGTTCAGTTCTGTCAATCTATCCATTTTACTGAACTTTGAACGTTTCGAGTCAGCGTCACATCACCAAAACCCAGATGTGAAACTGCGGTGTCTTATTTCCTTTGACTTACGCTTATTTACTTTATTTCGAGTAGTTATTTACGTACTCGGCTGAGACACTAACAATCGTATAACTGCACTATTGGGACATGAACAATGTGTACGAGTTTCAACCCTTTATATAAAAAAATCTTTGACCTCTTTTGTCAGTTTGTTTATTTTTTATAGATACATTATTCTGAGACAAAATGATCACTGATGAGTTTCATTCCATTTCCCTTTCTTTTACTTTCAATTGCATTCCTTGTCATGATTTAATTAGTTTGGGTCTCGTCTCAACTTCTAACTAGTTTTCACTAATTTAATCGTCTCCTATTTTCTTAATTTCTGGCCAAATGGAGGTAACTACCACACTGTAATTCCATTTCCCTCTCTTCTACTTTCAATCTCGTTCATCGTTTGGTTGATTTATTTAACATTGGTTTGTTCTCGGTCCAACCTGTTGCCGTTTTAAAAGAGAATATTTTGGCTAAGATTTGTCAACTTAATCACAGAGCAGGCCAAATTTTAGAGCAGCACGTTAGCCATTATAAATTCCATTATCAGCACCAGCTGACTTAAATTCTATATTGCCAAGCCAAGACCAGCCCGAATCAAGCAATAAAATTGATTCCAAATGTCTGAATCTTCCACCAGCCAATGCTCCAGGGCAGCTTTAAAAGTGGAAGTGTGTTTTTTTGGCACAAATGATCAGAAGCAAGCCAGTGGATATTAAAAAAAATTCTCTCTGTTCACTCCCAGTTTGACAGTGAGGGGGAAAGCATCAGAATTCATTGTGTTTCTCTCATGTGATAGCACTCTGAGATAAACTTCTATGACGATTTTCTTAATGTGCAGATAATCCTCATTGTAGAGTGGTCTCTACAAGAGTGCCTTCAGCTCCCCTCTCGACTCTCTACCCCCTCCTCGCTCCCTCCCTTCCCTCCCCTCACCCTGACCATTCCCCCCCTCCTCGCTCCCTCCCTTCCCTCCCCTCACCCTGACCATTCCCCCCCTCCTCGCTCCCTCCCTTCCCTCCCCTCACCCTGACCATTCCCCCTCCTCACTCCCTCCCTTCCTTCCCCTCACCATTTCCCCCCTCCTCACTCCCTCCCTTCCCTCCCCTCACCCTGACCATTTCCCCCCCCCTCCTCGCTCCCTCCCCTCACCCTGACCATTTCCCCCCTCCTCGCTCCCTCCCTTCCTTCCCTCACCCTGACCATTTCCCCCCTCCTCGCTCCCTCCCTTCCTTCCCCTCACCCTGACCATTTCCCCCCACTGCTCGGGTCCTGACCCAACTGTACAGCGCCTTGGGACGTCCTCCCGACGTGAAAGGCGCTCTATAAATGGAATCTTGTTGTTGTTGTTGTTGTCTGTATTCACGATATGGAGCGTGGCTAAATGAAGGCAGAATTAGGATCTGTTTTAATGAGACTAAATCAGATTTTTGGTGTACTTTGGTGTGGAAAGAGATCTGCATGGTATTCCTTGTGAGAGATGGGATATTTTATTACAGCAACTGAGTCATGAGCAACAACAGAAATGGACGTTTAGAAATGGGTAAGCCCCATCTTGTCCATTTATATTCCAATTAATCTCAAACGTAGCCACCTTCTTTCTCCAGAAATGCATTACGTTGGCTCTTGAACACATTTATACTATTTACACCATTGGCCATCCATGGTAAATTACATTTCATTTGTCTAGTACCATTTTTGTGACATATTTTGGTTTGAATTCCCTATTTTAGAATTCAGCTTTTCAAGATTTTTTCCCCTTTGTTCTTTCTTCCAGTCTTGTGTTTAATATGGAAGACTTAAAAGACAAGCTGAACATTCAAAACATTGACGACATTGTGTTGCATTTACAGTGAGTATGACTTCTTGTTGGACCTCTACTGTACCAGAGTGCTATTTCCATTTCCACACATGAAGCATATTTGTGCCAGATAGTCTCCAGTTGAAGAGTAACTCTGTACCCTTTAAGGAACTAGCTTGGCGTTTTCCCAAACTCATTTTATACAGGAGTATTCAAGCCATTGGGTAGAGGGGAGGCTTTCATTTTGTTGATCTGGGCTGAATTCAAACTAGTGTCCCAATGATAAAAAAGCATTGTGGAAAAACACTGAGCTCTCCAGATCAGATAATGTCTTTTTTGTAATAAAGATAAGGGTGAATAACAGCAAGTCTTGCAAAAATCATTCGTTTTAAAGTATATTATTCAAAGGCACTGGCAGACACTGAAGAAAAATGCATTTCCTATTGATTACAGGTTTTACTGCTGAATAATGGAAGTTACTATAAACTTCATAACAAATAGTTAAAAGGCAAACGTTTTCTCTGTGTCACAAGCTCACAGTTGTATTACCATTTTATATCAATTCAATTATATATATTTAATTTGAACCTTTAGTACATTTATAAGGAAACACAGAACGATTAGGGGCTGGGATTAATTTGGGAAATTCAAATGGCCATATCAGAAACATCAAGGGTTGGTGATGGATGCTAATAATTCGACTCTTTATATTGGCAAGCTCATTAATTCCAATCAGATATGCGGGAAACAAGTTTCAGCAGTTGTGAGAAAATATCTTTACATCTCTCGAAGTGTGCGTATGAATTAAAATGTACTTAACCACATCTTCAACTTCATTGTACTTTCTGCACACTTCGTGCCCAACATTAAGCTCCCAGGTCAGTTATAATATGAGTTAAATATAGTTTAAAACTCCCAATTTCAGAACAGCACCCCTTTGATTATGCTTAAGTGACAGCAATGGGAAGCCACCAATCTGCGGAACAGTAAAAGAGCGAATTAATCTGAATCTAACACGAAATGCGTCAGCTATTTTAGGAATCCGGAATTAACCTTTGCTATATCTAACATGTTGACAATCAAAATCAACTTTATTGTGGATCATTTGATACTTGAACCATGATTTTTATTCAGCGGGAAATGAATAAGCGGTTCTCTGTCCAATGGAATTGTTTTGTAAAGGACCTAAATTCTCCTCCCCCCAGCCCCCCATTCGTGTGTGTTTCATAACTAAACAGAATGCTATTTTCTTTAGAATTAGCCTCAGATATCTATCAGATTTGTGAGTGAGTGTGTAGTCCACAGGAGAAAACCAAATGCTAACTGATCCAATGCAGTCCAAGATCTTTAAATCTCGTTAAAATTAGCTGCTGCCAGAAAAATAGCTGCCATCTGGGTTATACTGGATTTCTCAAACTGACAGAAGGAATGCAAACAGTAAATTAAAGTGCCAGACTCCAAAGGGAATTCTGTGAAGAGAAAATGGTGGGAAAACCTTATTTTAACAACAAAGAAGCAATTGTTTGGAAATCAGAACTGGATTCCACTGGCATATGGGAGATTAACCCATTCAAGACCTTTTTTCGCACTTTTGTTCACCTGTTTTGTAAGGTTTTCGAGACGCTAGGAAGCCAACCTTTATTCTCATCCTTTGCAGCAACAGATAAAAGTTGAGAATTGGATTTGTTTAATTTGTAGTGTGTACCGAGCAAATTGCAAATAACCTTGATTATGTAATTCACAAATTAAAAAGAAAAGGGTTGAATGTGACTCTGTAAACTTTTCAGTGGTTAATAACATAAGTAGGAGGCACTGATAATTCCTTCTATACACAAGTTTAAATGTAGCCTATAAATGAAATCCCATTAGCTCCAATGCGGTTAAATTTGCAGATGTCAAAATATAAGGATTGTATCCATCATTTGCTATATATCATATTCCCAATCCTAGAGGTTGGTGCACATACTATATTTTTTCATTAATAACCCATCCAAGATCTAAAAATAAGAATGCAGTTACTAAAAAGAAAGCAAAATAAAGGGGGTTTGGTTCATGCAAAATATGACCGATTTTTTTATTACCATGAATTCTGAGACTTGACACTTCCAGCAAGCATGACAAATGCATGATTTTTGCTAAACCTTACCATAGTAAAGTTACTGCCATATTTATGATCCGGAATGGCAAAGGTCAGATAAGGATTTACGTTGGGTGTGAATTTTCACTGTCTTGGGAGATATTTCTATACAACACGGTGGCAAGCCAAGGACAAGCCAAGAACAGGGATCAGGAAAACTTTTTTTGGAAATTAAAAAAAAGTCTTTGCATCAGGAGGCAGCTGCGAAATAGAAATCCAAAGTTATAATAACACCCATCTTGCCTTTTGCTCAAACTATTCATCGGGATGAATTTCATCTAACCAGCCAAAATACGAAATGGAGGGCTTTATGGAACATCATCAGTCAAATCTGGTGCAGAATTTGTTAACTGTATCACTTAAAAAAAATTCCTAATGTCTTTTTTTTCTTGCTTTTCGCTTCCAAAACCATAACCAATGGATCTCCTGGCCAATTGCTTGATTTCAGATGATGAATCATGCCCCAAACATTCAACCTATTCTCTTTCAAGTGCTGCTTAGCTTGTTGTAAATGTTTAACTCTCCTGCTTGCCTTTACCCCCTGCAGTCAGATGAGATTCGTCTTAAAGGTTTCATCTGCAATAAATCCGTACACCCTGCTTCTGTTTACTGGTTATAAAGTGACGACAACTCTAAGGTCTTTGAGATCATTGCCAGTGAAAAGTTAGTGAAGTTTTTGGGTGGTATTTGTAGGTCACATTGTTATGTGTCATCAACAGTGCGCGCACACACACCTCACATTTACATATAGTCTGTCACAGTGGGTGGTATGATTCTATTGAAATGACTTAAAATTTAAAAAAAAGTTATTTATTTTATGGTTGTTTGTGGGACATTGCTGTGTGCAGTTGTCTGCCCAGGTCCGCCTACAAAATACAGTCACTTCATTTCACAGTAACTCCTGTGCGTTGAGATGTCCTTTGGACGTGATAAGGTGCTCTAGCAAATGCAAGGATTATTATTACCATTATTATTGATCATCTGTGATAATGAACACATCACAAAGCATCATTTTTTTAATTCCGATTTTCCTGTTTAGGTCAAAATGTTGTAACCCACTCCCAGGACGTGGTTATTCTGTTTGTAATTATGTAGTGGCCACACACTGATTTACAATGAGGATAATAATAATCCTTGCATTTGATATAGCGCTTTTCATATCTTCGAGACGTCTCAAAGCACTTCACAGAATATACTGTAAAGTGAATTGACTGTATATTTGTGGGCGAAATGCGGCAGCCAATTGCGCACAGCAGCGTTCCCACAGACAGTCGTCGATTGAAGTGACCGATTTATTATTTTTTCTTGAGGGATTATTATTTTTGAATAATATTCAATTATTGAATTATTGAACTTCACTGTATGTGAAGTAATTCCGTCAGTAATTCAAACCAATGATTCATTTTAGAATATCTCGTGAGGTTGTAACCCTTGAAACACACAAGGGTTTTCCTACAGAATCGCAAACAAGTGGAACTAAAATGTTTGTCAAATTCAACCAGCATTCTGTCAGAGCAATAGAGTCATAACAATAATTACAAAAGCCCTGTAAGGAGCGTTGTGTGTCAGCCTTCACAGGATGTTCAACCTCTGCCACCCCACCCCACCCCCACCAAATGGATTTTAGCGGACAGCCCTGGCCACATGCTCTGTTTCTCTGTTTGCTGTAGCAGAGTGGGACTCCTTACAGAAGCTGCCAGATGTCTGGATACACTTAGTTTAAAACACTGAAATTGATTTAAGTCTTGGATCGTAAGGAGGTTTTCCCATTAACTGCCATCTACAGGAATGGCAATGTGGCAGACTATTCATATAAACTTTTAATCAAAAGAAGTTTAATGATCTCAACGTATAACTATATATGACTTGACTTCTTTGAAAAGTGGATGGAGGTCCTGGACATCTGCAGAACTTGAAAAGCGCTGCAGAATATTTAGTTTGTGAAAGTTGCAGGGCAACATTCCCGCACACTTACCACTTTCATCTTTAACAAAATCATTGTGTTGTACATTTACACCCATGGTCCGATGGGAATTCCAAAATACGTGTCAAAATTTTGATGGAGGGATTGTTTGATTATTGGAATGTGCGCAACATTAACAATACGATACACCTTCTGGAAATATCATTATTCCACACTTGTGAGTGCCGGAGGTCAACCATTATTGTAGAAATAATAATCTTTGCATTTGATATAATGCCTTATTACAGCAGTGAAAGGCCTCAAAGTACTTTCCAGGATCCATTGTAACATGTAGAGGCTATGTATTTGTAGATACTTAATCAATATAGTTGAAGGGGCAGTAAAGTACATTTTGATCTTTGTTCTAAATTGCTGTGTACTGAGCAAAATAGCCTGCTGAGAAGGTATTAAAAATGAGTGATACGGGAACTAAATACAGTAGGCTTAATGTCATGTGATAGTTATGCTTGGTTTTCATTTTATTGGAAGAATAGTTTTCCCATTCTAAACATCAATATGAAGCTTTGCTGGGAAGTTAATCTAATGATTAAGTAAATAAATGTGCCTTTGGTCTTCACAAGTAACAAACCAGATGATGGGCCCAGTAATTCCTTTTTAAATTGACTTCCAGAGCTCTAGCAGGGTTTCCTCTTGACACTTTCATCAATAAATCAGAATCCTTGACAAAGTAAATGATCTGCCCTTCCTTTGTGAGTTGCAAAAGTAAAAGAATTCTTATTATTTAGGTAATTATATTAGAGGCATCCTGCATTGATTCCTTGTTGTCACAACGAATGCTCTGTGAGTGCAAATACATCATTGAATGTCAACCTGTCCTCACAGGGTAAACCGAGACATGTTTATCTTCTGTTGCTGAGCAGTGTCATTGTTGACATCCCAAATGGAACAAAAATCAATTTAAATGTACAATTATAGCTAACTGCTGCGGTATTTATAGTACAGATGAGATTAACATATCTGGCAAGTACATCTTATTGCCCTGGTGGTAAGTTTCTAAAGTATATTGCTTTATTTTTCAGATCCATCTTGCAGGAGGAATGCAGCATTCTGAATAAGTGTATCCTGTTCTTGCAGGTATAAGGCCCCTTTTATAATTCGCTTTGCTGTTTATGCTGCTCATAATTCACTCTTCACCTTGCTTTTTTTTGTTAAAAAAGCATAATCAGAGAGGGGGAGTGGGTGGGTGGCGCAGGGCTGAAAGAGGTACCGACTGAGCCTAAACTTGCTGGGAATTGAATGAATGCACAGAAGTTGGCAAAAACAATACTTACTGTGTATTAATGACTATCACTGTTGGTGCGATAAGTCATTATCACTATTAAATGTTGTAGCCGTTCTGAGCTCATTTCCACATCAGTTGTACTTTTTTAAAAAGATGTTTTCAAAGAGCAAATGGGTAGCGACAAACCAAAAGTTATCTCTAATTATTTATAATATTAAAAATATTTATAATATTAGTATTGTATATAATTATTTGTGACTGATCAAAAATTGCAAACTGGGGTTGATTTTTTTTTGAAGATCATTGAAAGGCTTATTTTAATATTATTTTTGATTCACGGAGAAACAGTGAGAATGTCCTCCCCAGACAGGATGTCTCTGTCTCTATTATATGTTGACTTTTGAGGCAAAATGCAGACATTGTATTTTCCTAAGCACCAGTCAGATGTCCTTGTGCGGTTTAGCTTTATATCATTTCACAGTGACAGGATCCTGAAAATATAGACTTTGATGGAGGTGAAATAGGTTTTGAAGTTTTATACAGGACGTATAATTCAATATAAATCGTAAAATACACAGTGCATAAACTTTCAAAGTAACTTTCTGGAGGACAATCTAGTACCTGACGATTGCATTTAATAATAATAAAAATAGCAATAATAATGATAATCCATTTAATTAAAATAATAAATAAAGCATTTGCGCATTTTAATAGGAATTTCAGCTCTCGCATTCAGGCTGACATTCGGACATTACTACGTGCACCTCATGAAATATTTGCTTCTAGTCAAATTTCAGTTGTTTTTTTTCTTGCTTCAAACACACTCGGAGACATGCAACATCAAGGAAAAGAGCCCTATTTGCAGAATTTCTTACCTCATTTGTTTCCTTAGTTGTGTATTGATGTATTTTAATTGCATTAATTGCAGAGCATTTTTGCTGTGGAAATGAAAGGGGGCATTGTTCGCCGGTATTTCTGGCTTGCAGGCCCCCCCAAAATGCTCTTCTGTGGACTGCTCCCTCCCTGCAAGGCCAAAATAGTGTCAGATTCCTTCCCTCACACGTAACAAGAAAACACCCTCACTCCAGGGACAATAGGAAAGGACAAAAATGGTTCTGCCCACATCCTTTGCAACTCTATCCCACACTCCCTTCGCCTCGCCTCCTCGCTTGCTTCCTTCAAGGCCCATCTCAAAACCCTCCTCTTCAACCACACCTTTGGTCACCCTCCTACCCCCACCTTCCCTGCCCTCCACCCTCCCAACCCCCAACTCAGGTGCAAATCCTTGACTGTCCAGCGTCTTGAGACATCTTCCTGATGTGAAAAGTGCTATACAAATGTAATTTGTTATTGTTGATCACATCAGCAGCTGGGTGTTTCGGATTTTTATTCCATTAAAGCATCTTGTTATACCTCTTTGTGTTCCCCTACAAAAAATCTGTTCTGAAGGCTGTGTTGTCTGGTTAAGCTCCAGCATACTCAAGCCTTGGCTCCTGCCAACCTGCGCCTAACACTTTCCAGAATTATGTAAGCAGTGTTTGTCTCTCTAGGGAGAGAGTGCAACTCCATCCCAGATGCAAGGAGATTTCCATCTGTAACTATGTGGAACTCTGTCTCTGTAAAAGCTAACAGTGCAGTACATGATGTGTAAAAGCTCATACTATTATTTGTATTGTGCATCTATCATTTGGGAGCCATATTTCATTTGTGCAGGACACGAGCAGTGCTTTGTGTGGGAGGTTTACAAGATTTATGTAATTGCTGTATCTCTGGTTAAGTTGCTGAGCGGTTGAAACCAGACTCGTCCATCACCAAATCATCTCATTTTTTATTTTCAACATCGATGCATTTAATGTATTTGATGTTGAGGAGCTTCTGGTTCTCAGTTTGCAGAGACCAGCACGTATTGAAACAGTTCTCATCATCACTGAGTATGTTTTTCCACAAGCGATGCCACACCACCATTCCTATCATGGAAAGTACAGTCTATTTTGGCCTCAGTCTAATTGTTAGCCACAATTGACAGTTACCATCCCAATTAGCTTCCCTCCTCTGATTTTCTTGGTTGGGGCAACACCAAATTACCAATTCTCCCGATAATGCACAGGAGGACAAGGAAGTGGACGGGTGTCCAAGTGGACGAAGGTTCATTCCTGGAGCATCTCAGATGCTCACTGGACTAGATTCTTGCTCTTTCGAAGAGCCGGCACAGGCCCGATGGGCCGAATGGCCTCCTTCTGTGCTGCAAGATTCTATGATTCTAGGTTATTCTAACAGATTAGAAACCAGAAGATTTTCACCCGTGAAGTAAAACGCATGGCTTGTAGGTTATCCTCCAAGTGCAGGTGGCTTGCTGAGAAACTGCTCAGCCAAGTTTATCCACCAAATGCCAAGATTCCATGTTGTGTCAGGGCTCAGCTTCTGTCAGTGACCTTTGGTGGACAGCCTGATCCAGACTAAAGCAATTAATGTATTTGATGTATATTTTAAGATCCTTTATAACCAGGGTAAATTGATTTACGACCAAACTCGCCTTTGGATGTTTTAAAACTATTCTTGATTTAAAGACTTTCTTACATTCCCAGAATCTCAGAATTTCTATTTGAATTTCTAATTTCTTGGAATGGGATGACTCAGACTTGAATAAAAATTCTACCTTTTGAAATTCAATATTCAAATCTCTTAATGTTTTATGATTTCACTTTAGAACATTGAAGCTTCAGGGGGGAATATTTTAGACCGCTTACTTTCATATCTACCAACTCTTTTGCAATTCATCCAGGATAACAGCCGTGTACGCTATTCCTTAAGAATGTTTGAAGCAACAAATCAGCTGCACTTCATTGGTAGAATGTTCAAGCCCACAGACTGGACCAGTGATGTTTTTGTTGGCAATGACATCCAAAACTACTCATCCATCTGACAACACACAAAGCCCAGTGCAAACGGAAAGCTTTTCGTGATTCCGTTTCTGAGGCTGATTTTCTGTTTTGATGCATGCGGAATAACTTTGGTTCAGAGACTGTGGGCTTGGGCTTGTTATTTCATTAGTCAGCTGATTTGGGCAACGGGTACGTTTCCAATCATAGGAGGATCCAAGCTTTGTGTGGCTTCTGCAGTGCTGTGTTTAGCTGAGATGTTAATTCCAGGCTGGGGTCCCCAGCGACAGCAGCTATTTGACAACACTCTACATTGGCTGGAAGACAATAGCTATCTTCAGCCTCCTTTGGCAGCTGCTCATGCCATAGGAATATTATAAATGCTCATAAGATTTCAACTAATGGCTCAGTCTGTGGTAATAAGCAGTATCCATGAAACCACCTGTAGTGATCCTTTCCAGCTTGTAGCACTTGGTAAAAAAAAAACATTCTCATCAACGTGGCTGTCATGAGGGCAAGTTCAGGCTAAGCATGAATCGAAAACGGGGCTGGATGAAAGAAATAATTTTCTTTGGGTGGTGGGGGTGCGGATGGGGTGGGGATGGGGGTGGGGGGCGGTCAGCCGGATGTCTTAAGAGTATTCAAACCAAATATTGACTGGATAAAAGAAAATGGGGAAAACGAGAATTCTTAACGGGGTAAGAACTGAAAGAGTTTGGACTGTACGCAAATCGAACCGAGTCAAGCAGAAGATTGACTGAAAAATGAGACTGAAACATTGGGGTACATCTGTGGAGGGGGTACAGCTGGTGGGGACGAAGGCACAGCTCACAGCAGCAAATCACAAAGTGAACAATTGATTAAAGCCAGTGGAGAAAACCGCAATAACTATTCCATCCCTATAGACTGAGTAGGAAGTGCATTAGCAGCCGACTCGGGAAGTGTTGAGGTGGAATACTGTAACTGGAGTAAGGAAAATCCAGTCCTCGAAACTGCCTACAGCAATACTTCCTTTCAGAGGGACAAGCTAGTAAAACAAAAAATGATTTATTGCGCCAAATATTTCTGCATTGAACTGAACTGCCAGCCATATGAAGTCCACATCAAACTAACTGAACCAATTCACTCCTCCAAGCACGGTGGAAGATGGGAAAGTATGTAAACGTCAAACAAAACCTGCGGGCCAGTTTGGAGCTGAATTGTAAGAGTGTTGATGAATTCAAGAGCGTTCCTCTAAAACCTCAGCAGTCCTTTAAAGCAGCCGGTGTATGTTTTTGAATAAGCTCTGGTGATCATTCATTTCCTCATTTCAAAAAGCCGTTTTTTTTTTTCTGACTGCAATTTGTGAAAAGACTTTCGGTTCAAGTAAGAACAGATGTACCTCTTTAAGTTCACATCATCTGCTCTGAGTACTGCGAGTCGGTGGGTCAGGAACATGATATTTATTTAATGCAGAACAAATTAAAATCCAACATTAAATGTCATGCACGCTGCTGTGCGCAATTGACTGCCGCATTTCACCCACAAAATATACAGTCACTACACTTTACAGTATATTCTGTGAAGCGCTTTGAGACGTCTTGAAGACGTGATAAGGCACTGTTTCAAATGCAAGGGATATTATATATTATAAAGTGTTCACATTTTCAAGTATTTTCTCTGTCTTAATAGATTTTGTTCGTAATATGACTATTGCATTTCTCTTTAAAAGTTATAACTTTATGGAACATTTATGACTTTGGAAAATGAGGATTAGCTGTTGAGGAGGAGGCTGGGAATGCTTTGTCTTGTACAATCGACCATTACATTGCTCTCAACTCAATCTGGCAGTTTATACATTGGAGTGACAAGCTCTGTTTGAAGTGGGTCGTATTCCAGATGATAGTGGCTCTGGGTTATGGAGTGAGCCTGTCTGTGTTTACCCTCTAATCACTATGTCTAATATGGTTCTGTCTGTCTCGCTCCATCGCCCTCTGGCTCTGCAGCCAGCACCGTGGTATGAATCGTGTTGGTTTTGTCACTTAGTAGTTGTAGTCAGTTTCACTCGTGGTTTAAGAGTCAGCTCAGGACAACTCACCGCATGGTCTGTAATGTTGATGGCATTTTGTAATGTTGTGAACTGGGCTCTAAGTTGATGTGAAGAATTTGCGACTGTGTTATGATGGAATGGCCAGGTCCACCATCGGCGGCCGGGCCCACCCTGTGGAACTCCATCCCACATTCCCTTCGCCTCGCTCCCTCTCTTGCCTCCTTCAAGGCGTGTCTCAAGACCCTCCTTCTCCCGCGCCTTCGGTTACCCTCCTACCTCGATCCTCTCTGGCCTCCATCCCTCCCTTACTCCAATCTCCCTCCCTACCCTCAGCTCGGGTCCAAATCCCTGACTGTCCAGCGCCTTGGGACGTCCTCCCGACATGAAAGGCTTTGTGTAAGTGTAATTTTGTGTTGTATTAATCAAAGTATAGGAAGTTTAAACAAGGGCTGTTAAGAATATGTTTGTTCTCCAGGCCACTATAGGAGTATAACTACTTGCTGCAGACAGGATTCTCTGCTGCACTGGGCTGGCTTCCTGAACAAGGATTGTTCCTGACATAAAGATTGAGTATAAGCACGTCATCCTGCAATCAGCCAAGAAAGATCTGTGTTCAGTGATTGTATAATTTGTTCTGTATGAGCTTAGTTTGGTTCAGATGATGGCATTGCAATGGTTAGAGTAGGGATAATTTTGTTGATTTGCTGATTGCTGGATGGCTGACTGCTGTAGCATTACTTTATTTCTCCAGTTGAAAACAAAAAATGCGAATGGTATTCTATGGATCGCTCACATTTAGCCAATGGAAGGTGAACAACTAGATTTGTTCATGTACCTGATCTCCTGACCGAACACAGTCAATTCACTTTACAGTACATTCTGTGACGCGCTTTGAGACGTCTCATCAGTGAAGCAATTTGAGACGTCTCGGAGACGTGATAAGCGCCTTGGGACGTCCTCCCGACGCGAAAGGCATTATACAAATGTCATTTTGTATTGCATATAAAATGCAAGGATTATTATTATTATACATCTGTGAAAATGTCGGAACCAAATAGAGGTCAAACAATAACTGGTAACGGTCTGAAAAGAAAGTGAGGTCTTCATGAAGAAAAGCTTGATGTTAACTGCAGAAGTCTGGCAAACCATGGAGAAACACTTTGAGTCTCGTGTAAGCAAATAGTGGCTGTCTAAAGTTATTCTCCAAAGATCCCAAATAAGGGAAAAACAGCCAGAGTGTGCAAGAGAGAAAACATAGCCTGTCTCAGCTGCTAGAGTTCAAGTGCACAGAACTATGAAAATAACTAAAACCCAGGAAAGATAGAAGTTGTGATAGATGTGGCAGTTTAATGTGTTCATAGCAAATGTTTCAGATTAATGATTTGAAATCCATGTTTAATAAAAAAAACTATTTTACATTTATGTAGTTGTTTTTACGTCGGGAGGATGTCTCAAAGTGCTTGGCAAGGCTGGGTGGCACACGAGCTTGGGGTGGGGAGGGAAAGATGACCGAAAGCACAAAGAGATATGTTTTGAGATGTGGTTTGAGCAATGCAAAGGGGGGAGCGAGTCCTATACATCACACAGAGGTACAGTTCAAGATCCTGGTCCTCACCTTCAGACCCTCCATGGTCTTGCCAGCCCCTACCTCTGCCACCTCCTAAACCCCTACCATCCTGCTCCCTCCCTCTGCTCAGTGGGCTCCGGCCTGTTTCACGTCCCCCGCTTCGCTCGCCCCACTATCGGCGGACAGGCCTTCCACCACTCTGCACCCACCTTCTGGAACTCCATCCCGCAGTCCTTCCGTCTTGCCCCCTCCCTCGCCACCTTCAAGACCCTCCTCTTTGACCAGCTTTTGATCTCCCAGCTTCCCTCCCTGGCCTCCACCCTCCCCCACCCCGACCCTCAGCTCGGGTCCGTAACTCTGTCTGTCCAGCGCCTTCGGACATCCTCCCGACGTGAAAGGCGCTATACACATGTCATTTTGTTGTTGTTGTTGTTGTATACACTCCGGGATACAGAGTTCCAGGCAGCAGGGGCAGAATAGCCGAAAGTCTGCTTTTGCTTAAAAAGAACATTTTTACCTTTTTTACTGAACTAAATATATTAAAAGTTAATTTTTTCCCCAAAAAAAGTATGGCAATAGCTCCCCCCAGTGGTAAACTGAATGTGAAATCCACCTGCATAGCCCAGTTGATGAACAAGCATGTAAACTCTTGGTGTTGTTAGACCATTGGTTCAGAGGAAGGACAAAGCTATCAGAAGATAAAGGAAGATAAAGGGATGTTGAGTGAAATCAAGGCTTGATTGTGGACTTTGTAGTTTAGTCGCCTGTTGGCTCACACTGTCTAGGCTCACGTGACGAAGACGAACTGGAACAAGGCTGGTGTTTGTGGAGCAGTATTCCCTCATGTAATAATAATAATAATCCTTGCATTTGATATCGCTCCTTATCACGTCTTTGAGACGTCTCAAACGCGGCAGCTGAAGTGAATCCGTGTTTTCAGGGGAGGAGGGGAGAAATGGACCACACAATTTGCTAGAAAAGGGAAGAAACATCCTTAAAAGAGTATTCCCTCCATCCTTAAAGCTGTGTGCCCATCATTTTCTTTATGAATTGTTTTATTATTATTAATTATTATTAATAATAATTTGGTCACTTCAATCCATGACTGTTTGTGCACAATTGGCTGCCACATTTCACCCACAAAATACACAGTCAATTCATTTTACAGCGTATCCTGTGAAGCGCTTTGAGACGTCTCGAAGACGTGATAAGGCACTGTATCAAATACGAGGATTATTATTGTTGTTACGAATTGCTTGATGAATTGTACCTGATTTTTTAAATCTTGTTTATTCTTTGCTATAGAAATCCTTGGAGGAAGAACATCTGAGCAACAGTGAGCTCGTGGCAATAAATAAAGAGCCATCGATTGCAGGTATCAGACTGTTCATTTCTGTTGTACTTTGGCTGTAATTGGTGCCAGCAAGCAATATAATAATAATAATATGATATTGGCTAGAAAGGCTATCTTGCACTTATTGTAACAGAAGGGTCAGCACTCTGTCCTGTTGAATCATTCTTAACGTTTTTGTTTTTCTTCAGAACTCAAAGAGGAAAGGAAAATCCTTGAGCGAGATCTGCTGCTGACGTCATCGATCCAAAACCTGGCTTTGCCCTCCATCCTGTCTGGGCCCACGTCCTCACAGGTGTCCTACAGGTAAGAGGCATTCAGAGGCCGTTCTCTGAACTTGAGCTACATTTTGAGCAGAGGCCTCTGAGATCCTGAAGACTGACCTCCTGTCTCTTCAGATTCAATAGAGGAGTCAGGTTCAAATTGACCAAGCTGAGGTGGTTCATTATGGTGTGCTTAGGATGTTGGAATATCTCATTTAAACCCTGCAGTTGAATGAAAAGCCAGAGTAGTTTCTTTTTAAAAAAGGGAATTGAACAAATGTTTGAAGAGAAATATTAAGGGTTTATAGTGAAAGGAGAGCAGTGTGGGATTAGACCAGCTGTCTCATACGGTTAGCATGGACACGATAACCCGAATTTCCTCCTATGGTGCTCTGAATTTCATGGTATATAAATCCAGCGATGCTGGTTACAGACCGGTTGTTTATTCTGACCTCCTGTGCTAGTAGCATTTTCATTTGTTTGATACAGAAACATAGAACCATTGAGTGGAGGCCCAGCAGATCTAACCAGGAGAATTCCTTTCTTACCATTGTCGTCGGGGCGATCTGAAGCTAACCTAGAGTCATGCATGAAACTGCATAGTCCATCTGAGAGTGGATCATGGGTTTATCCTATAAAGCCTGAAAGGCTTTCTACGTTGCCATACAGAACCTCTCTTATGCCTCTCTCAGAACCTAATTGTCAGATTGATGGAACACCGAATGCCTATGCCCCTTTCCACTCCAAGGTGAAAGTTCAGAGTAAACTTCAAACACATGCATTGGGTGTTGAGTCCAGGACATTAAGTATGACTGAAATGTTTCCCACATGTGGCACAACTCCTATTGAAGAACTGTCATCTTTGCAAAACGAAATGCAAATGTCACTGATGTGCGCAGAGGCTACCAATGAGCTTCCAATCGAACCACTGTTAACCTCGTCTTTAGGTCACACAGAAATCCATCGTTCCACGGAGAAACCGAGGACTTTGCCCTCAAGGTTGAGAAGCCCAACTGAGGTGCTGCCATCAAGAGCTAAGTTGGAAGGTCATATTCTTATCCCAGCACCACCGTCATCTGAGAAGCCCATTAATGCTCAGCCTATCTCTGGCCGGAGAGTGAGGAGAGCACACACCGACAGTCTGACTGGCACTGCATAAATAATAACAAACTTGGAGCTGGGTTGGTGTGATTTGATTTTGTTTGAAATGAATTGAAAAAATTGGTGTCTATTGATCGCCATCAGAATACACTTACAAGTTCTCTGTATCATTCCCAATAATATGGTGTTTGCAGTTCATTTATTTCCATGTTGTCACCTCATCCTTACTTTACATCTCTGAGGTGAGTGTTAACTGGAATAAGAGAAAAAGGGAACATTAAAAACAGAGTATCAAAGATGTTTATTTTCTTACAACTTGAATAAAGGATGGAAATAAAATAATCTGAAGCGATTTGTTCAATAGAACTTTTTTTCTGGGAAATTGGACCTTTTTAAAATCCGAGTATAACATATTGAAGCACCTCACGTGTACATGTATTTCACAGGCTTGCTCCCAGTGTGTGGTTTGGTGCGGTGCGCCATTGAATTGGCGATGGGGAGTCCTGTAGCTTAGTGGTTAAAGCACTCGCCTCGCAAGCAAGAGACCTGGGCTGGATTCCCGGCAGTGTGAAACTCTGGGCAAGTTTCCTTACTCCTCATGTCTCTGTTTACCTAACAGTAAGTAAAAACCTGGTTGTTAGTCGATCGGCGGATCGCTTTTCTGGGGGTAATAATTTCTTCAAAAAAATAATAATTTGTTCACTCAATCCACGACTGTTTGTGGGACGCTGCTGTGTGCAATTAGCTGCTGCGTTTCGCCCACAAAATATACAGTCATTTCACTTTACAGTGTATCCTGTGAAGCGCTTTGAGACATCTCGAAGTTATGAGATTGGTACGGGAAGTACTTTTCATTCTATATCATTTAGGTTTTATATTAATAGTTTTTCCCCTTTTGCAGTTTTTCCCAACATCTCCATCAAGAGAAACTGAAGATTAATTTTGGCTGCTTTCAATACCGCGTTTATCATCAATGCTGGACTTGGATTATGATGAATTGAGTATTGGGATATATAATTTACTCGGTTTACCCCATCAGATTTGTAGAAGGAATTGGCACTAATCCCAACAAGTACTCAATCACTGCACACGGCACCCAATTAATATGTTGCCGGAAAGCTGACTAACGAGCAACAATGTAATATCTAATCACAATTTGTATTGACTATAATTTTTCCAGGCTTTTCTGAGCAATCACCAGGGTCAAATTCATCAGGACTTCTGGCCATGTTCAGTTGTGCAGACTGTATCCTGTTGTGCCACCGACATATACAAACCCAATTGCCCATCTGTCCTTTTTGGAATTCAACCCCCAAAAAACAGACGACAATATGATCCAGTCATATCCCCCCTCGTGAAGGCATCGCGGAGGCAGGTAATTGACCTGCTTTCAGGTCTCTTGTGGTATTAGATGATTGTGGCACTGGTGACTGTAGTTCCAGATTGAGTCCGTCCTATCTTTTGGGGAAGTGCAAGTCTGGTAAGTACCTCCCGCTGACTGATTTGGATATTGGTTTTCATGTCAGTGATGTCTCAATTAAGATCGAGTTTCTTATATTTTGGCTGCTCTGATGATGGATCATCAAATCGCACCAGCAAAGGGAATGGAGCTGTGTCTAATTCACTTTAAGATGTTTCCTGGACTGCGAAGATGCCCAATTCCACTGGGCATCTCCAGCTAAATCTCAGTGACTGATGTTGGATGGCTATTCAGTGTTACCGGTAAGTCAACAAAATTGATGAGTGTTCACCTTGGAAGTGTCACCTCCTAAACGCCTGTGAGTTGTGGAGAACAAAACCTTCCTTCGAGGGGAGTGGCAATAATTATCGTGTCTCTCGCGATCAAAGCTGGTGAAAGGAATCTTCGCTTAGGAGAGGATCTTACTCTTTTTGGGGGGAAATTTGCAGACGTTTGCAGAATATCTCTAGATAAAAGCGGTGACATTTTTCGCTCGTCAAACCGGGACATGGAATTTCTTTCCCATTTCAAGCGCCCAGGGCGAGGAGTTCCATAAAGCGGCTCCTCTATGCTTCTTGTTCCTCAAGGCACTGTACGAGGGCCGTTAGGGTTAATGTTTAATGGCCTTTCCACTACCGACTGAGCCAAACTGACACTGTCTGTCGCTCATGATAGAGCAATTGACAGCCTTGTAATAAAAATATACTGCAATTGGAATGCACAATATTACCACCAGGTGACAGCACAGCACCACATCAATTAGAGAGAGGCTTCACACAGTTCTTTGCTTGAACCGATGAAATCTGTCCTTAAAAAAACTTACAATGTGATAAATTCAGTGAATAAATGCACTTGGTCAGGTGTGTTGAAGGTTTAGAATGCTGGGCTTAAAATGTCATGAAACACAAGGGGAGAAACTTGTTTTTGTTCAGATGGTGCAAGTACTTTAAAGCGCAAAAGTGTTTATTCTTGAATCTAAAACTTTAATAAAATCTGTTTTTTTCAGAAAGTGGGAAGACAGAGTGGGATGAGCTTGTGCTCCTGGTCAATGCTGGACCTTTTAACCCTAGTCTTAGCAGAGCATCCACTATTGCACCATTGAGTCCTTCCTATACTGGCTGTTGCTGTGGCCTCACTGAAAGAACCTGTCCAATTTAGTTAACAAACCAACGACACGTTCAATTGCTGGAGAGCTATTTTAATTCTGATTCAGGACCCAGATCCCTGAGGTGAAAGGTCCACGTGCTAACCCACTTGCCACCTAGGCTTCCAGCCATTGATGTACAGAACTTTTCACCCCAAAAGATAGTAATATAGTCCCACGTTTAAAATTCTTTGAAATGTCCTATGATAAGGTGCCAGACTTTCCTAGAAAATACTTTGATGCTGATTCAGATGCTGCCTTGTTGAGCCAGATAGCATGACTGTGAGCGGAGATAGGCATTTTGCGATCACTTTCATGACTGTGTAATGGCAGTTGCATTTCGGGAAGGTTGGCAAGACAGATAATGGCACAGCTCACCACAGGAGCCCAGATAAAAGATTATCTGCAAAAAAAAACATTTCTGTCCTCGCAACTATGGAAGGCCAGACTTGTGTTTATCATTCTCTCCATGACACTGAGTTTCGATCGCAAAATTGATGCACTCAACTTTACTGCAGAAACAAATAGGTAACACAGCACAACCGTACTTTCATTGAAATGGTATTTCTGTGTAAAATCCATTTGAAGATCAATTATTAAAAAGAAATTTTGGATGAACTTGGATGGATGAGTGCTGCCATTGGGAGATGTATCAAAGATTTATTAGCTTTTGAGTTGCTTTAGTTTGTGTTTTTGCAAGGCGCTATACTAAAAAAAAATGTAAAACGTAATGTAATTTGTGTTCCTATTTTTGTGTCAGAATTTGAATTGTGCGGGTGACATTTGCAACTCTTTTGGATCTTAATTCTCTCATTTACATTTTTGCCTGAACTTTGTCATTGTTCAAGTAAGTGGGGCCAATTCATTGTGTGTTTTGTTCATTCAATCCATGTATTGATTGGGCAGAAACTGTCTCTCTCCGCTCAGTATATGTTCAGCAGGAATGTTTGCAGTCTGGAAAACAGGAGACTTGGAAAGATCTTACTGAAATTTTCAAGAATCTTTAAGGGTTGTATATAAATTGAATCCAAATAATATGTTTGACATAACTACAGTGTGACCAAAAGGTTGTGAAATCTACCCTATTGCCCCCCAAAAATCATTTCTTTAAGACTTATGAGACATTGTGATGGTATCATGACTTTTTGGTCAACCTGTATAAGCTCCACAAGGGATCTGGATTAAAGCTCAGACGAGGGAAGATGGACAGACATTTGGCCGTGACTACTTTATTGAGGAGGCAGTGAGAACGAGGAACCTCATGCCCAGCAAGATGTGGAATCCGATAGGAAGATGGAGAGATTTTTTGTCGTGAAGCGATTGATTGATAAGAAAGTATTACAGGGTATAACAGAGCCTCTAATTTGCTTGATCGGTAGAAATGGGATTCAGGCAATTTTGGGGGGAGCCATCAGATGGCAATAGAGCATCAGTTGTTCTTATTGGAGTTTTAACTGGAACACCCTTTCTCCAACCTCCACCTTGTACTGTGTAAATGCAAGTTGTTGTTGTTAACTCTGCTCGGCCTCTGCACTCTGAAGACTTGTGAAATAGGTCAAATTGGAGTTAATTAATTCCAAGGTTTTCCTGCATAACTAGGTGCAGAATCCAACTTACATATAGACATTCAGTGTACCGTCAGAAAATGTACTTGGATAGCATTTCTTTCGTTATATTTTCCAGTGTTTTATTTGATAAGGTTTCGAAGGAGGCCTTCACTAGAAACCACACGTTCACTGTGGCACGTTCCCATTTCATTGAATTCTTCCACCTTCCCTAGAGAGAGACGCCTGAGAGATCATCAACCAAGTATTTGGCATGACTCAGGAGAATTAGGACGGCAAACACAGCAGTTGATGTGTACAGCAACAATTTAATCTGGTTTGGGTGAATGTGGTTGAGGGATGCAGACTGGCCTGGACCCAGGGACAATTCTCTGATCGTCACGATCGGGTTTTCAAAGTCCACCTGAATCAGCAGGACAGGCAGATGGCATCTCAAGGAAGCCATCTCCGCCAGTGTCCTGCTCCCCCAGTTACTGCAGCTGAAGGTCACCTTAGACCATGAGTGATATGCCCAGGTCGCAGAATTAAAGGAGTGTCTTGAAGCAATCACTCACTACATTGAATTGATACTCACCAATGTTCTTTGTTGTATTTTTGGATTCCTCTCTAGTCAGTGGTCGACAGACTGAGAATTAATTTTGAAAAGTGAAAATGGCTTATTGCTGCGAGTCTGTGTTTTAGACGCTAGGGATGTAACGTGATGTGAATGAGCGTTGGCCACTGCATTATATAACGCAAAGCTGTTTTTGCTGTGTCCTGTTGATTTCAGGGCAGACTGAGAAAGGAAAATCATTTACATGCAAAATTAAATTGAGATGCTATGCCCGATATTTGCAGCTAGAGGCCTATGTTGATTCAGTCCTTGTGCTCCCAGTTAATCTGCTCTAAACACAAGAGCACATACCACTGCAACAGACTGACATTTCCCATTTCCCACACCACACCTCAATACTATATTTGATAGGGCAGTGCTTTAACTGACCATATCACCCTGCCCTCAAATATCACAAGGGTCTTAACGACAGATAAAATGTAGAGTACTTTGAATGAACATTTGGATATGCAATAAAACCAGTGAAAGGGACAGATGAACTGTGAATGTATATAAAAATAGATGTAAAATACAGAGCACATCATGTGTCCATGTAAATGTATCATAAAACCAGAAGAAAAATGGCAGAGAGTACATTCATTGCATGAACATGAAGAAATGCACAAAATAAAACCAGGGAAATTTACAGTACACAGAATGAATGGGTGGATGTATAATAAATTCTCATTTATTATCACATAAACCTACTGTCTTCAAATGTCAGTTCTGTTGCAAGCCAGTCATTCTTAATGATGTACACACATTTAAAAACATTTTTTAGTGACGAGCTTTCTTTGAGAGAGTTTTACATATTGTACTTCGTAGCAACACTAGGCAGCAAAGCACCTTGCTACTTTTTTTTCTCTACATTCATTCTAATAACAGCACACACAGCAATTACAGTCTAATAATTTGATTGTGATATGGAAGAAAAAAACGAATTAAAAAATAATCACAGGTTAATTAATATTTTTAATTCACGTATTTCTGACAAACATTCTAAAATAAACAGACTCTGGAATACTTCTATAGGTTCCATTTTTAAAGCTTGTCTGGCTTTCGGTTTGTAAATGAATAATATTTACAGCAGATTTATTTTTATGGAATAGACACTGTGCTAACACGCTGTTCTCCTATGAAACTCCTCTCGCTCACACCATTCCCTCCCTCTCTGCACCAGTGGTAGTGAATATGGGGCGTGTTGCAGAACAGCAGTTGCAAGAACTCAGCCATTCGCAGACCACTGAGAAAGGGTTGTCAAGACGCACATCGAGGTAAGTGCTGGTGAATGCAATACTTCTCCAATTATGTCAGCATCAAGCACTCCCAGGTCAGGAACTGTGTGGGCTGCATACATCTGCTCAACTCTGCTTTTAACCTCACTTCAGAGGAACATAGTGAACAGCACTAGGATCAACCTTTGTACAGACTGATGTAGCCAGGAGCCTTTTTTTTGTGGCTTCTCAAAGTGAGATTTAGTGCTAAGTAATAATGTATGAGCAGTTATGGGCTGTGAATTGGTGGACTGGATTGAGCGTGTTCAGATTCCTTATAATCAGGGTTATTAAACCGTCAACGAGAGGAAGGAGGCTTTCATCTGATTATACTGGATGGCTTCAGGGGCTACGTGCCAGCTATAACCCATCGCAGCTCTCAGACTCTGAAGGCTGACATCTAAAGATGGTTTGGTTTGGTTCTCCCATTCTGTTTTCCAAATCTTTGCTTTCCCGTTACTTGTCAGCATCCAATGAGATGCGTTCCTGTGCGCAGTAAACCGTGAGAGCGTCTGGAAGCCAGTGGATTCTTATCAAAACCAATCCAGCATGGAGTAGAGTGCAAGGATCTGCAAATCACCCTCCGGCAAGTACCTATCTGAGCCAGGGTGTCTGGAGTAAACGCTAAACAGGTTTGAAGGCCTCCCAACCCAACCCCTTTATAGAGATTCCGAGACTGTCAACATGGGTCAAAACAACAATCCTTCCAGCAACTGCTTATAGTGACATTGGCTGAGGTCTAGGGACAGATTACATGTACATCCCTCTTGATGGGGATTGATATGTAGCACGGGAGGCAGTTGGGGGAGTGGGAGGGGGGCGGGCGGGGGTGGGGGTGTGGGAGGAGGCAGAAAGGAAAGAAAACAATTAGGAATTTCTATTCTCTTTAAGAAGGGAATTAGCAGCCAATTTGGATTTCACTCATACAGTACAGGCTAGAGTTTGTGCAAATAGTTTTATAAACGTATTTCTTTACAGTGGCTACGCACCACGCTATTGCGTTTTAATTTTTTTTTGCCTTTATTAAAAGGAAAAATAATGCACATTTTACAAGAATAAATTGCTAATCAGAATCTAATCTGAAAATTATTTCAGGTACCAGTCTGATACCGAGCGCTCCCTGTGAAGAACGCTATTCAAATGCAAGTTGTTGTTGTTGAATACAGGGGATTCTCCTTCATGTTGGCAACACACAATCCTGAAGGAGACATCACACAACTGCTCTCTGCAGTCCTACTTCTGGTTTGTGGGCTGCTTCAAGTGAGATAACTGGGGGCAAGAGCTCCTTCAAACTCTCAACAAGGTGCTTCAGTTCACTGAGTTGGCATCCTGTGAAATGACAGTAAACCCAAGTTCCCACAAACTCAGGTAGGGGCAGAGGTACCCGCTATGGCTTAACAAGGGCAGCTCATCTTATTGAGGTCTATATTCCCCGAACTTTCAATGTGCCTCAGCAAAAGACGGAATTGGGGGAAGACACGACTGTCGTGAAACAAGTTTGCAGCAACGAGGTTTGACTGGTAAGAAATCACATGTAAAACATTCACTACCGGCTATGAAGACTCCATAGGGGTCAGGAGGTTTTGTTTTAAAAAGAGCTCGACTTTGATTATAGCAAATACACAAGAAGCAAAATACAATCACGAAGATAACTGTAGCCAAATCAGACCTCACACAAAGTGAATGTTTTACAGTATTCATTAATTTCTGACTTATGCAACTGCGCCCAGACCTTCAATAGATTTACACAATTAGTCGCTTCTTTCATATAATGCTTCTTCTCAATACTGAAAAGAATCAAGTAAACCTTTCACGTAGAACTACAGGGTTATGGTTAACTTGAAACAATTTATACTAACGAGAAAATACTGCGCACACAATTATAATTATCGTTTCGAGCTATCGACGTCTTGGAAAGTTTAAAAACTTCCTTTATTTTCCGACACATATTGTATTTCTAAAAGGAATAGCAAGGTGCTGCACCATTTAAATCATGCATTAAATACAGCATGAGTGTTTTATATGGATAAAGGCCAGAGGTAGGAAGGAAGTACGGGTTACAAAGGTCTTCCCAATAACTGTTATGAGTAAGTACAAGAGCTAGTGATTCTGAAAGGTGAAGGAATGGGCAATGGTTGGCCAAGTTTGGGTTGCTGCTAGTTCACTGACAGATTACAAGCCTACATATTTACACCTTATAAATAGGCAGAGGGTTAGCGCGGGCAGGAGGGATGAGAGAGAGAAAGAGGCAGAGTGAACAGAAGACAGAATGAGCAATGAAAACCATGAGAAAATGAATGAATGAATGAATGAATGAATGAATGAATGAATGAATGAATGAATGAATGAATGAATGAATGAATGAATGAATGAATGAATGAATGAATGAATGAATGAATGAATGAATGAATGAATGAATGAATGAATGAATGAATGAATGAATGAAACTGAGAAACGGGGTTTAATCCAGATCACTGTTTAGACCACACGCTCTGTGCACGAGGGAATCCAGCAAGGAATTCTCTGAAGGATGAACTTGGTAAACAGCTGCCCCACTCCTGTTCTTGGTTCTGGGCAGTGCAGTGTAAAGCACGCTCTCTGGTCAGTCAGCAAAGCCTGCCTTTGATCAATGTCACTGAGAAGGGAGGGGGAACCAGGGGAGTTAGTCATGCGATGTTATAGTGTTGTACTTTACTGGATTTGAACAGTTCAAGGTCTATAGCAGTGTAAACGTCACACAGAGCGTCACCAAGTGTACGTGTAAACATATTAGAGAGATTCTCAATCATTATGGGGTAAAAAGAGGACACAAGGTATAGGAATGTGGTGGCAATGATGCTGGTGGAAAGTAACCTTTTGCTGACACTCTCACTTCAAGAGAAATACAATACAGCTCTTAAGCAACAAAGATTATCATATATTATGGATCTATTTCTGACTGTAAATGTTTACTAGCAAATCAAAATGTTACCAGCTACTCTCCACAGAACTAACCTTAATCATCACATGCATAATCCCACATTGTGCTAAGTTAAATTGGGAAGCAAATACTGTATTAAATGTATGGTTCCCAACTAAGACGACTTATGGGAGGTTTACTGTACAAATATTTCCATTAGCTGGAATAAAGTGTGCACTGAATGCTAACATTAATACTATAACCTCTCAAGTATTCAGTACAGTACCAGGCAGCTGTACAAACACACACAAAGAACAGAACTAAACAACATGGTCAAAATTTCAAGTTACAGGAAGAACTATTGGCTCAGTCTAACTGTGACTGACTGAAGAGTCGTCACATGTGAGAGAATATGTTCTCCACTCGTGGATTTCAGTAAAGCACGGACTAGAGCTTTCATAAAACAGTATGCGCTGGTGAAATAGCAATGGATTTAGCTGGAGCACAATCAAATACATAGGGACTGCAGCTTCTGGGTTGTAATATGTGAGCTGAAGAATGACATATGATGCCTGAATCATGATAGTTGAGGGCATTGTTAATCCATGTGTAGTTAATGACTGAAGTGGAAGCATCGAGACCAGTATTATACACTCTCTACGTCCGTTTCTGAGTCAACGGCATGCTGGTTTAGAACCAACCCTCAACTGCGTTCAATACACCATGTGCCTGTACAGAATGGGCTGAGGAATCAATGCTTTGTCCAAATTGAACCATGTGCAGAAAAGTATGACAAAATGGGCAACAGAAGAAACTAGAAAGGAAGATTGGGGGGCAAAAAAGAACTTAATTTGCAGCTTCATAATGGGAATGCCTGGGATATTATTACACAACTATATTTCTGCGTAGATCGTGGTTTTACATTATCAAGCAAACGCAACCAATCGACAAAAAACACACACGACAACCAGCCACAAAATGCCACGATGACCATTCTCAGCTTTTTTAAAAAAAGTTTTGATCCATGCATAATTGCGTCCCTGGCTCAGAATCCCAACGTAACATTCCCGTTCACTCCCAATATCTGGAAGTTCCCAATCCGACCAAAATTTGGACCCAAGCACAACGACGTCCCTTTGACAAAACCGATCATGCATTTGTCAGGATACGCGAGTCATACACATAATTGACGTACTTCACATCATTTGCCAGATTGATGCAGCTGTACATTGGGGTGTGGGAAACACCGGAATAGGTGAGCCCTTTTCAACACAATGTGTTTTTTGGGGAAGAACAAATTTCCAAGCAGCGTAGGCTAAATTGTTCCATTTGTGCTGTTCTATCTCCCCTAATAGTGAGCAATGCAGTATAAGATGGGTTTAGAAACAACTGATGCTCAACTCTCTGCCCTTCTCCCCATTTTTATTTCAATCGATTAAAATCTTCACAATCTTAGCCTTAATTAAGACTACATGCAGAATTTTGGAAAAATATTAAACCCATTCTTAATTCGGAAACTGTCGAAATCCACTTCCAAAGTTATGACTCAAGAACATGAGAATTTTCCCAAATTCGGAATAAATGATTTTGAATCTTAAAGCTGAGCCTATGAGAAACTTTGGGCCTTTGAGTGTCTGGGCATTGTGGGGCCCAATTTGGGTTATGGAACAGAGGCTTCACCTCCTCAGTTTGAAAGAATGAAACACAAAATTGGTTTAGACATTGGGAATAGAGGAACATCAGATTTCAGTTAAATAGGTCGATGCATCTTGTAACACTAATGGGTACAGCATCTTGTTAAAGACCTACTTCTTCTGACTAAAGCACCAAGCTCATGACCTTTGATGGACCACTTTGCTTGAAGGAGGAGACAAACAGTCCGGGGTGGGGGGTGGGGGGGTTGTAAATCACATGGAAAGAGTACATTTAAATGAAGACTTGCAAAGGTTTTTACCTTCTTGGACAGAAATCTTAATGATTAAGAACTGGCAATGGCTGATATAGTGATACAATTGTACATTGGCTGGAACATGAACTATCTGGAAGAAAAAAAGTATTGTCCCAAGCCTCCCTCTTTGCTAGATACGGCTGCAGAGCTGGGCACGGGATTTTGGGGCACAACCATAGGTATAATTTGAGAATGTAAGTGAATAATCTCACTGGGTATCATATATCATCGTATCACTGCCCTTTTCTAAGAACGACACAAATTCCGGATGCCAACTGTATCAAGCATTCCCTCTCCACGTCTACGATACAAATATGGTACAGGGCGGCCAACAAAGTTGAGGAGTTGAATATTTAACTAATCAACAAAGTGATCAAAATATTCCTATGTATTGTTGTTTAGACACACGTGGTGCCTAGCTGGTGCATATCTCAATGCCAACTCCCATATGTTCAGTGGTATAAACTGTGCACCCATTTAAACACTACAGCTTAGGGCAAGATGAACCACACTGTTTTTTTCCCAGGCCCTGTACAGTTCCTATGTTCTTATGTACAGCTGAAGTGCTGATATTTTCGAGCAAATTAGAGTGCATTAGTAATGGAGGCCCAATCAACATGCGAATCAGGGGGATGTTATAGTCTTAAAGTGAGTCAATGCCTTAGAAATGGGAGGAACTTTCAACGAGGACAGAGACAGTTTAGGAGAAGGATTGTTTCTCATAGTGCTGTTGATCTTTCTATTGAATTTAGTAGATAGAAGTTTATCAGAGTTTACACACATTCTCAGTACAATCAACGTACACATGTGTTTTGTACCGATCTACCTTTTAATGGTGTGTGGCTGGAACTTAACTGTTCATCAAATCACTTGGTTTGGTGGGCATCAGATACACTTAGAATCGTGCTCAGTGCTGAACTTTTTAAGCTCTCTGACATGCTCCCCTGCATGGAGGGCACTATATAAGTGCAATTTGTTGTTGTTGCTTCCCCTCTCTAACTATGTTACTGTTATAAATTAGCCCAAAATAAACCTTAATGTTTAAACTCCAGTTTCCTTCACAAGTTGTCCTCTCATATGTCGAACTACCTTGACTGTTAAGCAAAATCAAGAGGTGGCTATCATACAACAAGCAATGCTGCAGCATGGAGAAGATAGGAAACACAAACAGGAACCAGGGTTAGCCACGAGAAACAGCTAGTTTACGACCAGGAAACTTTCTCTCAGCTATCAGCTGTACTAATGTACAAATAGAATGTATACAAAGTACTGCACGTCACAAAATGACAACAAAAAAATAACTGATTTAGAGGTTTTTTTTTTCTCTTTTTACGAACAAAATTGGGTTTAAATATTAAGTTATGCGCTTCTATCGATCTTTGTAAAAATAAAAGAAAAACACACACCTGAAAAAAATCAATTAAGTTGTGCTGGTTATGTGTCAAATTCCACAGATCGGATAAGGAATTGTAGGGGAAGAATTATTCCCTGTTTGTAAAGGCTGTCTTTATCCTCCCTCCCATTAATCCCCCATTAATTAATTGTCTTCTTTGATTTTTTTTGTTGTTGCTTTGATTACACCTTGGAGTCCTGCGTATGTGCAGAACCGTTGTGGCCTTGAACGCTGAGATTACAATCTTCTCTATCCCCGGCTGGTAGCTGCTCCTTCTCTCTCTCCTTCTCTGGGTTTAACTGTTGAACCTCGAGATTGAGGTCGCTGGAGGGACTGGAGATTGCGTATCGGCCTATACGATGCTCTAGCAAAGCCGGGCCCCAGGTCTTGTCCGGTTTATTCGCATTTTTCAAACGCTAAGAAACCAAGGGAGAAAAACAAACAAAAATAGCCGCAGAGTTAAGATACTTTGATGAGCGTAAGACCATCATAGAGCTGTGCCGAAATGAGATCGCGACGGTTAGATTTATAGAATATTACAGAACAGAAGGAGGCCATTTGGCCCATCGTTCCCGGGGCACGCTCTTTGGAAGAGCTTCCCAACCAGTCCTACTCCCACCCTCTTCCCCCCATATCCTTGCAGGTTTTTCCTTTTCAAGTTTCTGTCCAATTCCCTTTTGAAAGTTGTTATTGAATCCGTCTCCACCGACCCTTTCAGGCTGTTGTATTCTGATCAGCTCTTAACCAGTTTGCCAAGTAAGTTCGCAAACTGCGGGCTCCAATGGGGTTTTTATTTAATACTCAGAACACTCCTCAATATCTAGTTCTCTGCCCAAATTCATTTTTTATCAATCCATTTACACCAGAAAATTAAATTTCAAATAGGATGTTTTGTACTGACTGCAGCGGGAGCGAACATTTTTGAGCTTAGCATTCTTTTGTTACCGCATCCTGCCACACTGCTTTCTAAGAACATAATAAGGAAAAACTATTGATACAAAAATAAACTGACTCTTTGAATTAAAATTAAGTTTCCAAATTACATTTCAGAGGAGTGGGTCTCTTACTTAACCCCTTGATGGAATCATTTGCAAGGATGTGTGGAGAAAAGGCAAGTTCTCATGCCTTTGTTTACCTAACAGAAAGTAGTAATAATAATAATAAGTAGGATCCCGGTTGTTAGTCGACTGGCGGGTAACTTTCCAGGGGTAATTATCCCTCCCCCAAAACAGAATAATAATTTGAAAACTCAATCCACGACTGTTTGTGGGGACGCTGCTGTGTGCAATTGGCTGCCGCGCTTCGCCCACAAAATATACAGTCAATTCACTTTACAGTATATCCTGTGAAGCGCTTTGAGACGTCTCGAAGATGTGATAAGGAGCTGTATCAAATGCAAGGATTCTTTTTATTATATTATTATTAAAAACAATGGTTGCTCTGTGAGTAAATGCTATCATCGGATAGAGAGCTATCAGATAAAGAGCAAGGCGATTTAGAAGCAGCCTAATTGATAAGCTCAAATGACATTCTAAACCCAGAGGCAAGCTTCAGCAGTTAATATCTGTCTTCTCAACTTTTTAATAAAAAATGCTGTCACAAATTCACTGAGGGAGACCCATTTTGCAGTGCTATTTTTTTCACGATCCTTTATGATTATGTTGTGCATTTGCATTGCCACATGATATTGGACCTGAAAGAAGATGAATTTTAGGATTGCGTGCCTTTGTGAAATATTGCATTGCTGATGGCCTGAAGGGATATTGATTCTGTAGGACTCCCAGCACCAATTAAGTGTGGTTCAGTGTTGTTCACAGAACTGTTCACTGTCTTGCAGAGATTAGGCCACATTAAATATCAAGCATTTCACATGTGAGAGGGGTTTTCTCACCTATACTATCTGTCTCTCTCTTACTCTTGACTGACCGCAGAAAACAAACTTAATGTTTCAAGAACAAATGAGATAGATTTCTCCTGGAAAATAACAGCTAGGGATACAGTATATAGTTTGTGACACAGCATGTCAAGCGAACTAGATGGACCTTCTTCTTTCGCATAGAAAATTCTTATGTTCTTAGTGGTTTGTCCACTCACTCACCTCCCAGAAGGTGTCGCCTTCTGACATGCAGATCTTCCAAATGGCATAAATGGGGATGCAGATGACTGAGGACATTGCCATTAGGAAACCGATGATGAGAGCCCAGGATGGAAACACGTAATCATTGTAACTGATGGGCTTGTACTGCACCACAGTGAATATCAGTATGAACTGTAATAAAACAAAAATCAATTATTTCAACGATTACAAATGATTATTTAATAGATTAAAAAAAAACATTTCAATGGGTTTGAACCACTCAAACAGGTACCAGAGATTGCAAACCTCTTTCAACTGGAATCCTTACAGCAATCAGAAAGGTAATATTCCGTCTGAGCTGGATTTGATGCCAGTTTCCAGGTGGACAAAAGAACCAGAGGAGAGATGAGGAGAATTTTTTTTACACAGCGATTTGTTATGGTCTGGAACGCACTGTGTGAAAGGGAGGTGGAAACAGATTCAATAATAACTTTAAAAGGGAATTGGATATTTACTTGAAAAGAAAAAAAATTGCAAGGCTATGGGGGAAAGAGCGGGGGAGTGGGACTAATTGGACGGCTCCTTCAAAGAGCCAGCACAGGCACGATGGGTTGAATGGCCTCCTTCTGTGCTGGAGGATTGTATGATGCTATAAGGGCAGAATCCTGATGTGCTGTGTCACGCAGGCAGTTTGAGAAATATGCTTTAAGCCAATGCCATTTCTGGGTGCAAATGTCCCATTGTCTAACAGCATTGGATTTTTAAACACTTTTACAGTTTGACAGGAATCACTTACAAAAATAATACTTGGAGATACAAAACGCCAGCAGATTTGGAAGAAGGCTGGAGGTGGAAAGCCAAGCATCATCTCAACATCCTTAAAGTATTGTTCGTGTCCTAGTCAAATCAAAAGAGACAAGATTTAATAAGTGTAAACAAGCAGAGGCTCTGTGGTACAGCACTGACTCTTATACCCATTGTTACGATTGTGCCATCCCAGAAAATAACTCCTAGGGATTGATTATGTTCCAGCTTTTAGGATTAGTGGTGATGTGCCGTTTACTCGTCTTATCCTGGAGTGAACTGGTTCATTTCCAGAGTAAAGCTTGAGGAATGAACCCTGTCAACATTCATACTGTCCCCGACAATAACAGGAACAGCTCAAACCTGTCCACTCACATTTGTCACACTTGTCTTAACATTGGAGTCAGTGTGGTTTAGGTTTCGGCTTGAAGCCACTCAAGTATTATACTTTGCAGTCGCTGGGCAACAGAGATATGATAGGATTGCTGTGAGCAAAGTTTAGTATCAATCACACCGTCCCTTAAAGCAAAAGCAAGCATGTGGAAGCTGAGAGGCATCTCTAACCACAACCCCGAAGTACGAGTTACAAATGATAAATAATAATAATCCTTGCATTTGATACAGCGCCTTATCGCGTCTTCGAGACGTCTCAAACCACTTCACAGGATACACTGCAAAGTGAATCGACTGTACGTACATTTTGTGGGTGAAAGTGACTCTATTTGGAGAGCTCAGTTATTTCTTACAAATGGTGGTTGGAGACACAGCCAGCGGGAGGATAATACTGCGAGAAAGTGAGACAGGTTTGATTGTGGCAGTGGCAGCTGGATTCAATTTTCTTCGATAAGTATGCCGGCAAAATGCTGAGCGAACAATAATAAGACAAAGGCCTGGACATTCCTTATGCCGTTAAGCACAGTGGCTCGGCTCACACTGGCTTAGAGCAAGGTTTCCCCTATTATATATCTGTACGTGGACAAGAGGCATTTCAACCCCCAGGTGTTAGTAAATGATGGATAGCGAAGGGAGCTCCATCTGCACTGAGTGGAAAAATGTATTTGGGGAGAGATGATCTGAGTTCTTTAAATTATGCATGGACTCCAGTCAGCTGCTGAACAAGGAGATGGGAAATAAAGGTCTTTCAGCAAAACAAAACCCACACAAGCTCAAAGAAAATGAAAGGACACAGCCTTCGAGGGAGTAATTCTAATATAATGTGCTCACTCTATCATTAATGGCCACAAAATGGTTAAAGACCTCCTGCCTGATAACATATATCTTTATTTTAATTGATATTTTTCAGCTGTGTTTAACCCCCTCTTTGTTGTATCGCACCTCACAGCCAGGGAGGAGGATTTTAAATGTTTAAACATGGCAAATGGTGGTTGGGGGTTGGGGGAAAGGGGGTGGGGGGGGGGGAAACAGTCTGGGTGTCGATTTCAAAATCTTCTTACTGTTTTCAAATCCCTACCTCTCTCTCCGACCTGCTCACCCCCCACTCCACCACCCGCTGCCTCCGCTCGGGTGGCTCGGGCCTCCTATTCGTCCCTCGCCCCCCTCCGCTCCACCACACCCCGAAACTCTGGAACTCTCTCCCTCAATCCCTCCGCCTTGCCCCCTCCCTCCCACCTTCAAATCCCACCTAAAGACCATCCGTTTTGATGGTTGTTACCATCACCTCTCCCCTCCCTCTGCCCCCGGCTTGGGGTCAGACTCCCCCACTGTCAAGCAGCTCCGGGATGCTACCCCACGTGAAGGGCGCTGTGTAAATGCAAGTTGTTGTTGTTGTAGATTCAGTCACCGGGTGGGGACCTTTAGGAACACGTTTGTATCCTGCGGCTGGGGAGGAAGAGAGGCTGGCAGGAAGGTGAAGTGTTAGTAGCTGCCATTCCCATGTGGGAGGCTGATTTGTAGTTAGTGCAGGTTGTGTGGGGACACTTGCTGTCTCAGGTGAGCTATGTGGTAGTTTGCTAAAGGACCTCCTGATGCCTTGGGACCTCCTCCCGACGTGGAAGTCACTATAAACGTGTCATTTTGTATACTGTGTTGTAATTCACAGTGGTGCAGCTGGTGAGAGCACTGGGTGGTGTCTGGCCCTCAGTGACCTGGGCAAGGCTATTTATACCACACTTTTGTTTTCACTCTCTTGCAGAGCAATCCATTGGTTTGATGCACATCTTTGAGACACAGGCCGGGATTGAAGCAGGGCAAATTCAGGACTATTTAATCAGGACTATGCGCATTCCCACTGAGACCTACCGTAAATGTACATGATAGCGATGCACATAATGCAGGAAATCACAACCAGAGAGAAGCTGGCTGCATAGTTATCCATGAGAAGCAGCCAGTAAATGCCCGCCTGTTGTATAGATAGAAACGAGAGAACCGTTAGTTTCTGTCTGCATGTGAATCTATTGTAGAAGGTTCGATTAAAATGCTTGACACCGCAGAAGCTGGGTTGCTAAGCGATAAAGTGGTATCTTTTTTCAATATTATATATACATCTATCTTCTTAAATAGAATATACCATCCAGAAAAAAAAAGAGAGACTGGATACAAACTTGATGAGAAACAAAAAGAAAGTATGAACTATTTCTGGAACGGTAAAAGAAAAATTACAAGCATTAATTTGAAAGCAATGACAGTATGAGAAGTATTGCAGTTGTTAATCTGAAATTTGGTTCTACGCTATCGGCTTTCCAGTGAAGCCACATATTGTTTTGGGTGGTGGGGGGTGGGGGGGGGGGATTAGCCAGGTGTTTGACACATGTGGAAACCCATCACTGAGATTTACATACATCGCACCTACACATGTAAATTCCAGAGATAGATTGTTGGAATGGAATGCGCTCTCTCTCTCTCTCTATCTCCCTGGAGGGACGCCTCCTGATTACCTAATTCCGGAGAGTAATAGGCGCAGGTTGGCAAGAGCCAAGGCTTGGGGTGGGAGCCCAGAGTGTAACTGCTGGAGTCTGACCAGCTAAAACCACACAGTTTGCCATTGATATTGCTGTCCGGCCAGCTTTCCCGCTGCTTGACCAGCTAGGAATGCACATCAGTAACTGTGGCACTTGAGATTATAATAATAATAATAATAATAATAATCCTTGCATTTGATATAGCGCTTTTCACGTCAGGAGGACGTCCCAAAGCGCTTCACAGAACACACTGTAAAGTGAATTGACTGTATATTTGTGGGCGAACGCGGCAGCCAATTGCGCACAGCAATGTCCCACAAACAGTCGTAGATTGAAAATGACCAATTTAATTATTGTTTTTGGTTTTTTGGAGGGATTATTATTAGGCTCTGTGTGGAGTAAGGAAACTTGCCCAAGGTTTCGCCCTGCCTGGAATTGAACTCAGGTCTCTCACTTGCAAAGCGAGTGCTCTAACCACTGAGCTACAGGACTCCTGTATCACACGTCCAGCTGTCAGAGGGCTATACTCAAGGCTTTCTGATTGTGACACCTTGAGCGTGTGAGGAGGAGGGAGGCTTTGTATCTCAGCAATGTGATTACACTGTCAATCTACGCAGCTAACTGTCCCCAGAACTGCCCGCCCCCAGTCCCACCGGAGAGAATTAATAAGATACGGTATTTTGGCTCATTTAGTGTTGGTTTGTATGTGTGTGTGTGTGGGGGGGGGGGGGGGGGGGTTGAGGGGTGGAGAGAAGAAAACTTTTGTGAATGTTGTATTCATTGGTGTATTTTAGATAGTTCCTTAAGCCACATGCTCAGAATAAAAGAGTCTGACGTTAAATATTTGATAGTCTTTCCTGGAAAAGGTGTTACATCGCTCTAATCTCTCAAGGTCCTACCAACAAGTGCAAGTTCGATATTGGAAATAAATTAGAGAAGCAAAACCATGGTAATTTAAAGTATCTGCTGCCAAATCACTTGGAGCCACTACAAACAGGTGCACTCTGTCCCTAACTTGTTAAATGGAAATGAACCAAGATCTCAGTTAGTCGCAGGTTGCTACAGTGATCAGATTTCACCGAGTCAATCAGATGAAATAAAACAAATATCAGGGGTTTTATATCGGGAGAAGCTGCTTCCGCTGGCGGGTGAGTCAGTAACCAGGGGACATAAAGTCAAGATAATTGGCAAAATGAACCCGAGGGGAGGTGGCATGATCTTACTTGTGTAGTTAGAGGAATTCCCAGCAGAAAGCCAATGACAGCAACGGCCAGAGTCACCAAGGATTTCCGGGTATGAATCCAGTCACTGCCAATCTCATCAACGATAGCAGTGACCAGTGTTTCCAAGAGGCAGAACTTAGGAAGAAAATAAACATTAATGGCATTATTCATTGCATGGTCAGTATTTTGCACTGTGTAACATGCACCACATAGTATGAATTACAAGGGTTTGATCTATCATACAGCGCACATTATAGCAGTGTATAAAATAACGTAAAATGCATATCATATAATAGTGTGAAGCATCCGTCATTCTAGTGGTTCTTTATAGTACAATCAATTCATTCTAAACTGTAAATTGCATTGTGCAATGTGAATTATACTCTTTATACTCTATGGCGTATAGTTTACAAACTACAGTATATTGTTACTATAGAAAGCACTTCAGAAGTTCTAATTACTCGGCCCTAGTCGCTAACTATGTTTTGACATTTTGTTCTTTTCCTTTCATTCTTCATTGTGGTCTAACTGAAGGTTTCTACTCATTACAGAACAAGGACATCCAGATGGTATCGTGGATTTGTTAGGTCAGGGTATCAGAGATACAGGGCAAGGGCGGGTAATTGGAGTTGAGGTACAGATCAACCATGGTCTTACAGAATGACAAACAGGCTTGAGGGGCTGAATGGCCTCCTCTTGTGTCTATGTTTCTATGACAGAGCTGCAGCTTATGGCCAAGTCCATGCTGAGTTGGCTGGTCTCAGGTGGGGTTGTACAGCGAAGAGGCTAAAGCTAAGCGGACGCATTCGAGTTTGAAGCAAATAATAGAAAGCGCTTCTCACCTGTGTGCCCAGTCCCAGAAGAATCAACATGAAGAAAAAGAGAATGGACCAGAAAGGGGAGACTGGCAGCAGGGTCAGGGCTTCAGGATAGGCCACAAAGGCCAAACCAGGACCATGATCTGCCACTTCCGACACTTCCACCCCCAGGTGCGAGGCCATGAAGCCAAGTATGGAGAAGATGACAAAGCCAGCATAAACACTGGTGGCGCAGTTAGTGATACTGATGATGATACTGTCCCTGGCACAGAGAAGGAGCAGGAATAACACGTTACATTCCACAGAATTGGAGAGTTGAGAGGCAAGCATCATGAGAACAGAAGAATTTGCTGGGCAGGCAAAAAAGGCCAAGGTCCATCCCGATCGCCTTCCACCACCATCATCAAACATCCAGCGCCATCGCCTCGCCGCTGACCTCACTTCCTGCACACTTTGCATGCCCACAAGAGCAGGGAATGCTGTGAAGGAAGTGAGATGAGTCGTGCTTCTTGCAAATAGCACACATGTTTGGTGAGCAGGAAGTGATATTTGCAGCAACATGACCTGACAACCTGCTGAAATCCCCGGCCTGGATACAGAGGCGGCGCACGAGAGACAGAGGCCCTCAGAGGATCTGACAGTAGATCACTCTACTCCAATTACTCCTCTGTTCCTCAATGACTTTACCAAACTGAGCAAATTGTGCCACAGGTCAAAGAACAAATATCCTGTTCTTTTGGAAGACTGCATCCCAGGTACAGTTCAACTCAATGTATTTCCTTTTTGATTTTTAAATCATTGTGTAATAATTTTGTTTTCAGCAATTTTCACACGCACACCACACACACCACATACACAAACACACAAACACACACATACCACATACACACACAGCACACACACAGACCACGTACACACACCACACACACCACATACACACACCACACACACCACATACACACAACACAAACACACACACAACATATACACAACACACCACATACACACACACACACAATGAGCATTTTCCTGATCTTCATTCATGCATCGTTGAAATATTGAAATTCTTGACAATGTGATGAATGAAAAAAAATATCATCGAACACCACTTGTTTTTCGGCTGTGACAGCAGTTATCTCACCCCACAAAGGGTTTAATCTCTGATCCTATCACACCAGGCACTGGCTCCTGAGCTGCCCTGACGAGATATGTGTCTTTTAAATACTGAGAGTTGAGTTTCCGAGTAGTTCTGAAATCTCCTGAGCCAGACACCATGATTTTGACATTCATAATAATTCCTATTGAATGCTGATTAAATTCTCGGAACAGACCAGAACCAACAAACATTAGACAAACACAGAAATTACCTGACCTTTCCTGCCTGTGGATCACAGAACTGTGAGGCGCAATTGAACACATCATTGGTACTTTATAGCTTAGGTTATTTGCTGAAAGGATGTACTATTTGGATATCTGTTAGGATTATGTTGGAATAAATACCTAATTTTTAAATTATAATTGATTTATACACTTATTCTGTTCTTTTTTTAAATGTAGACACACAACCTCATTTTTTTAAAAAAGGAATTGAGTTTCATTGATGTCATTTTTTTGACATAGAATTACACAGGTCATTCAGCCTAACTAATCCGTTTATAATCCACAAGAGCCCTCAATGAGGGGTTGCAATTCCTGGAATCCCTAACCCCAACTACTCCTATTTCTCAGCTCCTATACCGCTCTATTTCCCTTTTCCTCGTGCATACAATGTGGGGTCTAAAAGGTGACTCTTTAATAAGAGGCTGCCAGATCTCAGCCAAGCCACACAAAGATATATACTGTTGGTCGAGACTAATCCTCTCTATGGCCATGTGCACTGAAAATGTAGGTGGTAGATTGCCACCTTACTGTGAGACACGAGTTTGCAACAATAATATGTGGAACAGTATCAATAGGAATCCCCCGTTACTTGGGCTTGAAATCATTGCACAATAAAAAAACAAACAGAAACCGTAAGCGATTTTACACAAAGACTTCAGAAACGATATCATTCTAGAGAGGAGCAATCTACTTGGGTTTGGATGGCAATAGTACAGATAACACCCACAAACCTGTAGCAGTTATTGTGAAACTTGTTGTAAGATGCCATTGTTATCAGACCGCCCCAGGCACATCCCAGGGAATAGAATATCTGGGAAGCAGCATCACCCCAGACCTAGAGAGAGCAGAAAGCAGTCAGTCTGCAGCCTGGATGAGACCAGTTTATTTTAAAATAATAATAATAATAATTTGTTTACTTCAATCCACGGCTGTTCGTGGGGACACCCCTGTGCGCAATCGGCTGCCTCGTTTCGCCCGCAAGCACACAGTCACTACACTTGACGGTATATTCTGTGAAGCGCTTTGAGACGTCTCGAAGATGTGATAAGGCGCTGTATCAAATGCAAGTCAATATTCGCCTCACCTTTGCATCTAGAATCTTGTCCCACTGTGGGGTGAGATAATACTTAATGCCATTGACTGCTCCATCCAGAGTGATCCCACGGATAAATAGAATGGTCAGCACTACATATGGGAAAGTCGCTGTAAAATACACCACCTATATAAGCAAGACAGAAATATTAATGTTCTCCATGCTACAGTGTCCAATGGTACTGGCAGACAGCAACAAACACCCTGAGTTATGTTTGCCCTTATACAGGGTGACCAATGTCATTACAATGTCTAATGAGTCTTAAACAAATGATATTTTTTGTTTAAATAATAGGGTAGATATCATGACATTTTGGTCACCCTGCATTACTGGAGCTTCTCACAATAATTCTTCCACCATACACCCCAAAAAAAACCCTCATGACCTTAGCCTTAAAAACTAAGATAGTGCTCAAATTTCAGCAGGAAATAAATGAAAGCTCCAAAATGAAAACAAAATCTAAGATTTGCACCGGGTTCGATTGAGACATCCACAGCTGTCGGCTCTGTATTGCAAAGCGACAGCGCTCTACTTACTTTTCCCGAAGACTTGACCCCTTTAATGAGGCAGAGGAAGACTACAAACCAAGCCACAGCCAGGCAGCCGAGCAAAGGCAAACGAATCTCCCCAAAGGTCCCAATGTCACCGGAGACCTTCAGCACATAATACCTGTGAAAGAAAAGTGTTACAGGCACAGTTAGCAGGAAATAAATGACTTGTTTCTACCCTGTCTTCTGTGTTCACAGGATCTTCAACAGCTTGGGTTGGCAGGACAAATGTCTCCATCGATGTTGTTTCTGACTCTTTCACTCCAAACATGGACCAAGTGATGGACCAGATAACATCATGGAACCAGCTGCCAATGGAACCAAATCGTGTGAGTATCATTCAAGACTGGAGCCAAACCGAGAGTTAACTTGCCTGCTGGGAATTCAACAGCTGTAGTTCCTCGTGTGTTTTCAAGTGAAAATATTCTGAAATAATGTTTACACCGTCTACTGCCACTCTTCCTATGTGTTGAGTATTTTTGTTTCCGTCAAAATTAAGTGAAAACGTGTGTGTGTTTTCTCCTGAAGACCTGCTTCGTAGGATTGATTAATTTTAGACCATCAGAGAAGGGAGTTAGGAGTGAAAGCAATTAGAGATGTGGGGATTGTTCTGCCTTTCCTCAGCTCTGAATGAGACGGATTGATTCAAAAGAGCTATTGTTTCCTTCATGATTGTGGTTCTGACAAAGTCCTTTAAATATGTATTTTCTTACTTCCTGATGTTGAATAGCAGACTGCGGTGTATTTATATCCACAATCCAATAGGAAAATATTAGGCTCCTGTGGATTCAGTTATGACTTATTCTGAAACAATATTGTCTATTTTACTTATCCAGTAAAATTCCTTTCAAATTGTTCTGTCCAAGTTTAAAATTAATCGATTGTTCTCAAGAATGTGCCTTTTGAGTCCCTTGATACTCATATTGGACCCATTTTAACCGCAACTATAATTTCTATCATAAAAATATGATAGAAATTATGATAATATGCAGTCGTTATTCTAAATCCAGTGAGTCATCGTTTGAGGTGTCAGACAGTGCCTTGCGTAATCTAATGTGGCTTCATATCTGTGATTCCTCTCCATGCAAAGAGACTGTCTGTGGGATGCTGCTGTGCGCAATTGGCTGTCGCATTTCGCCCGCAAAATATACAGTCACTACACTTTGCTGTATATCCTGTGAAGCGCTTTGAGACGCCGCGAAGATGTGATCAGGCGCTGTGTCAAATGCAAGGATTATTATACAAGCTGTGGGTCGACAGCAGAAATAGTTTGACACGGGACTGACCGAGAGAGAGAGAGGGAAATGACTGAGTTTGCTCAGTGACACAATCGGGACTGATTGTTTATTTAAGGTAACGCATTCTCAGAAAACGAAGGGACACAGAGGGAACACTGCAGTTGATTTAAGTTGCGTTGACAGCAATTAGATGAAATCTCACCACAGGTATATGCCTGCAGAAGGGCTTCTCAGACATTAGAATATTGAACAACAGAAGAAAAGCCAATGTTCTGAGTGACCGCACTGGAAGACCTCAAAGTGAAAATCCAAGGTTTGAATACCAGCGCTGGGAGAAGAAAGAGTCTTCTGTGCTCCATTTTCAAATGTTTTCTTGTGGACTTAAAGGGAGCTTTGTTCATTTGAATTGCCACGTGACCTTACATGTTAAACGGGGAGATACTGAAATAAGTCATGGCATTTCTCAGTGGGTTCAAGGCTTCCAGGTTTTTATGGCTTTGAAGCCGCAGGTGACAAGTTGCTGGTTTAAATAGTGCTATTTTGGGGCGTAGAGCTGGCATCTAAAACAATGGGAGACTTGTTTGGAGTCAGCATTTTCTGACTTGCAAACAAACCATTCTTCAGCGTGAGAGAGCACCTTCAGATGTCGTAGTAAAATTGGAAAAAGATGCATGTGTGGGCTTGTGGGCGGCACAAAACAAAACAAAAAGCAAAACACAGTCACTACACTTTACAGTGAATCCTGTGAAGCACTTTGAGACGTCTCAACAACGTGATAAGTCACTGTAGCAAATGCAAGGATTATTATAAAGGGATTAAACTTCATCAATGTTAGATATTGCTCTGATATTAAAAAGTCTTCACTTACTTCCAGTACTCCTCACTAGGACTGGTCCTCTTCATTGTACTGTTGACCAATGTGGAGACGTCCTGTGACAGCTCGGTCATGTTGGTGGTCCTGTTGCTCTGCAGGACGCTGCTGCAGTTGGCTGTGTTCCACCTGTTGTTGCAGTAAGTCCACGGCAGAAGGCTGTTCATGGAGGAGAAGAAGTAGTAGAAGGCGAGGCAGATGACCACATTGTAGTAGATCCCAATGTACGTGGACACCACCATCATCCCGTAGCCCACTCCTGTTAACAACAGCGCGAATCGAAAGTCAAGGACTGGATGATGTAGACCATAATAAACTGTTTTATCTTGTACTGAACAGTGGATCCAGAGGCCACGGCCTGCGATTGAAGTGGGTAAATTCTGGACAAATCTGCTGAGACACTATTTCAGGGAGACAGGCGGTGGAAGCAGAAAATGCAATTTGTTTTAAGAACAAACGAGATAGATTTCTGCTCGAAAATAATATCTGGGGAGACAGTCTATAGTTTGGGACACGACGTGTCAAGAGTCTGCCAGGATAGTGGAAGGCAAACTAGATGGACCTTGGCCTTGTTTTGCCAGCAAATTCTAATATTCTTATGCTCTATTTTCCATGACAACATTGTTCTGTTGTTTGAAACTTCATGCTCCTGCCAGCTAATAGTGGGGGGACTAAAACGGTTTCCATATCTTGCATTAGATGTTCCCAGGTCCTGTTACAGCTCAAGCAAGATACAGAATATACCTCTCTCTGTTCTGTCTAACAATGTAGCTTCACCCCGATCTCAAACAAACATTTCCTACTGTGATAATCGGAGTGAGCAATAAAGTAGATCACAAGTAACAAAGGCAAGCATTCGTAGGAAAGGAAAGGACCAATGGAAAACACAAGTCAGAGAGAAAAAAGTAACACAATAAAGATTGTTATAATCTGAGATCAAAATGTGTGTTTGAATAGATAGGAAAATATTCAAGGAACACATTCAGAAAACACAGAGAAAATGTGTTGGAACGCAAGATAGTGGAATCTTTTTTTTTGTATTGATTTGATTTTCAATAGGAGACTCTTCAGCAAGTCCCTGCTTCATATGTTTTCATTCTGTTACCAGCAGAAGCCTCTATTATATTTGCAGCTATTTAAAACCACCTGATCAAGGTACGAATCAGCTGTGGATGTCACTTTACCAGGTTTGTAAAGAAATAAAGGGACAATAGCACAATTGATCCCATGTGGATTGTTCTCTCACTAACACGTTTCTGTTTATAACTGTCAGACCATAGAAAGTTTAATTGCATCAAAAGATGCAAATCACTTTACAGCAGTAAGTGTCACGTCCACTGCAGACAGACCTTCCCAGAGAGGTGTGTAAACTGATATTTTGCACCAGGCTCCTCCTGTCTTGTCACAGAATAACATAAGAATTTGCTGACGAGAGGAGACTGGGGTCCATCTAGTTTGCCTTCCACCATCCTGGCAGTCGCTTGACATGTCGTGTCCCAAACTATACACTCTCCCCAAATATTATTTTCTAGAAGAAATCGATCTCATTTGTTCTTGAAACAAACAACATTTTCTGCCTCCACTGTGTGTCTGTCCCCCTCGGGAGCCTGTTCCATAGGTTTAGTCCCCGCTCATTGAAATCTCCGCAGATTTCTTCTGAATTTACCCCCTTCAATCGCAAGCCGTGTCCCCTGATTCTACTGTTGAGTTCAGACTCTGCTTGAACCCTCAGCCTTACACAATACAGATTCATGTTAAATGCTCGTTCCTCTCCAGGCTTCTGGTGGTGAATCCCATTCCTATCCTACACAGCCCTTGGCATCACTCACTGGGGATATACTGTCTTACCTTTGAACATGGGATTGACCTTCCAGACTCCCAGACAGCCTTGGCTGGTGAACTGGCCGAAGGACAGCTCCATAAAGAAGAGAGGGATACCACAGAACACCAGCATGATGATATAGGGAAACATAAATGCACCTGTAAACAAAAAGACACCATTAACAATTAGGCAGCTAACATGCATTGGAACACCCAGTACTAATGTTCATTTCCAGATCCCAATGTTCCTCCTTTTACGCCAGACCGGGTATATTTAAGCCACATACATTTATTTTTCTGTCTGGTTCGAAGTGTCTAATGACAGAGGATGATGAGCAGTGATCTTGTGTAGAATTTACTAAATGTTTTTTTTCTCTCCAGAAGCCAAGATCATGTGATTTAATAGTCTTATAAACAGACCAGTAATATAAACCAGGGAGTTAAGCTTCATTATGCTAATCGTGTCAGTGGTTCTGCAGTTTACTAGACGCTAATGAATACGTAATATTAGCTGGAAAGATCATACCAGAGACATGCAAATTAGAGAACTGCTACATGCATAATTTAGGTCAATTGATGTACTTTGTCACAGAGTGTTGTGTCAGCCTGGCTCAGTTGGAAGCACTCTCTCCTCTGAGTCAGAAGGTTGTGTGTTCATCGGTGTAGGAGCTCCCTGGCTCATTGCAGGACTTGGAAGGGCAGGCCAGTCACTGGGGGCAGGGAGTCAGGCCACTCAGCTCCTGTTAACCCCACGGAAACCCATCACCAGAGTATCCAAACCACAGTGTAGGCCGGAGCAAGTAAAATAAGTCGTATTTTGAACTCATATAAGTGCCTGTCACTCAATAAAATGAGACTCTAATGTTAATCCACCTACACAGACAAGCTAATGCTTTTACACTTCAGACATATATTTACGCACAACATTGAACAACACCAACGATTTGCTGATATGTAAGCAGATACACAGCGAAAACCACTCTCCCAAGAACACACAGACAAAGCTGTACACTTACCACCAACAACAGCGACAGCTTGCATTGACACAGCACCCCTCACACAGGGTAGCATCTCAGAGCGCTTGACAGTGGCGGAGCAATAGCAATACACACACACACGCGCTCACACAGACTGCGACAATGACACAAATGCACATTTGCACAGAAACAGACACTATACAAACCTCCACCATTTCTGTAGCACAGGTAAGGAAACCGCCAGACGTTGCCAAGACCCACAGCGTACCCAACGCTGGTCAGCACAAACTCAATCTGATTGGACCAGTTTCCACGCCGGACATTCTCGTCTGTTTTCACTGTCTCACCCGGCACAGCCCCATTCTGTAACAAACACAAGGCAGGCAGTCAGCGTTCTGCCGTATGTTCAGCACTGCAGCCCCTCAACATTGAGAGTATTTTTAAGATGTTTCTTCTTCTTTACCTTTGCCATTTTGGGCACCATCCCCGAACAGAACGTAAAGGGAACTTATTATAAATAACATACACAGAAACTAATTTGTGACTTGAATAGTGTAATTCAAACCAAGGGCTTTTAATGATGTACAACAATAACTTGCCCTTTGACATTACTATATTCAGAAATGTCTAGTGTTTGAGGCATCCATCGGTCTCCAAATTTTAATGGTGATTAATAAACACCTCTTTTGGCAGTCAAATTAATTAGCGTTGGCTTGTGTGTTAGCTAATACAGATCTGGTCAAGAGGTGCAAGAATTGTCCTGTTGATTTAACATTAATCAATCAGTAATTGAATTACTCATGTCTAATTTTATTTCAGAGCACTTCAAGTGATTCAGACTGACAGCCAACACATTGGAAAGTAAGCGACAGGCAGATGGAGTGCAGGCAGATGGCATCATTACTCCAATAGTCTGTCCCACAGAATGGTGGACTGCATGTCATGCCTACAATTCCTCATACAGCAGACTTCTGATCTCAGGTGTTTCTGTTGCACATTGCGGGGGGAACATTCTGAAACACGCATTCATTAATCGTGGATTAGATAAGATGATAAAAAGATTGAGTGTTAAAGACACCTGCATAAGCAAAAGACACTGCCTGCTGTAGTAACTAGGATTAAGAAGTCAATATATTTTTTATATAAATAGAACAATGTACTGCTGTGTGTAATTGGCTGCCGTGTTTTGCCCACAACATACACAGTCACTGCACTACACAGTGTATCCTGTGAAGCGCATTGAGACGTCTCAATGACGTGATGAGGCTCTATATCAAATGCAAGGATCATTTATTTTATTTTAACTGGAGTGGCAGCATCGATAATTCAGTGATTTTATTTTTTCCTTGAAACGGGAAGAATGTCAGTCAGACCAAATGAGTTACATGTGACATCTTACACTGCGAGATACAGGGTCAGCGCGTTACAAACAGCTGCGCAGTTTGACTACAGGCGATTGTGCGCAGTCATTGGTCTCAGAAGCCAGGCTTTTCAATAGGAAATGGAACTTGTCCAACACCTTTAGTTGCTTGGGTTTTGGTTAGGTTGCTGCACAATATGCAGACTCCAGACAGTATTATGTATAATGAATTGCTTATTTCCTGGTAATCTTCTGCCAGAATGAACCCCCCCCCACCATCCCCCCAAGTAACCTTGTAAACACTATTGTATATTGGAGTCATTTCAAACAGTACATCAACATTTGTCTTTGCCATTCTTTTGTCTACATTGTGCCACTACATTTATGGTGTAGGTGTATAATTGAGTTGGCTGATTCCTTCCTGTGAAACTTCTGATATATGTAAAGAAGAGTGCTCAGCGTGTACGTGTTTCTGCTGGGACGTGAAAGCGCTACACAAATGTAATTTGTTGTTGTTGTTACCGTGTTACAGGACATATCAGTAACGATTAATGAGTCAGTAAATCAGCAAAGGTCTTCCCATCACATGTTACTACCTTGGTCACTGCCCTTCAACAGAATAACTTGTGAAACTCGCTACTCTTCAGGTTGGTCTCAACTAACTCATTTCAATCAACTCACAGTGACAATGTGCTGTACCCATTTCAGCTCCCAGCTTCCCACTGAATGAATGAAGGACGCGTTACAACGATGAAGCCAAATGCAGGGTTAACCAGCCGGTTTGTGATGGTTTAGGAGCCTTCGGGTCAAATGTTTATTGTGTGTGCTTTATTGTTGGTGCAGAGGAGACTATTTAAAGATTTACAGCACACAGAGAGAGAGAAAAAAAGCTGTGTTAGAGAAGGTGAGTCTAATCCAGTGCCACCGGATTGGCAGCAGATCCCACCCAATTAATTCTGGTCTCATTCCGTGAGTGTTTACAGCACAGAAAAGGCCGAGGTGATAGATCTAGAGTGCTAGTTGCTAGGGGAAAAGGGAAGGAGAGGTCTACACTTTACACAGAAAATCTCTTGTTGCACATAATCCATAACTTATTATTACCCGCCAGCTGTAAGCGTTTGCAAATTTACAATGAAATTGAACAAAAACAAGGCTGATGCAAAGCCTCATGTTGTGGTTTAAAGCAGATAATTGGAATGGGGATTAGAGGTTCTTTAACTTGTAGGAATCACATAACACCAGAGAACAGTTGTACACGATTTCGTACTTGAAAGAAGAAGCGATGGAATACCGTGTGGCCCCCTTGTACCAACCTCCACTTCAGGTCCTCGCTCCAGGGACATTCATTGTTATACGCTAACCCTCTGGGATCTAAAGAGCATTTGCATTAAAGGGGTAAACGAGCGGGTCTCGCTAGTTTGCACTCTCTTGAGTCTTGCACAGGGGTTAACCATTTTGGCTTGGGGTATTAAAACTTTAAGACACGCTAGGCCTTTTCACATGGGTTAAGTACACGATTGGATTGAGTTATCTAACATGATTAAGGGGTTCAGAAGCCAAAGCTTGAATGGTTTGGAAAGTCATTCAAACTCAAATCACCTGTTATTTATTTAATGTTACGTAGACATCTTGAGAAGTATTTGAAGCCCAATTAATTTACAGGATTCACGGCCCTAACAATATGACCATATGACAGCAGCAACAAACCATGACACTAGAATGACTCATAGTTACTCATAATGCATAAAAAGACGCAAAAAAGAAGTTGAGAGACAGAGACTGGAAAACTAGGAATTTGTAGGAAAAAGATGACTTCCACTGGCTTTTAATGCTCCCTTAACATAATGGAACAAACTTCACTTTTGAGGACTATTTTGCTCCCAAGACCAACTGTAAACTCCCGAAATTTGCTGATAAGGATTTCTGTCTCTGACCCATAACTGTAACAATGCTGAACAGGAACATTTCGAACAGAGTTAGCCAAGAAGCCGCACAATGTGAATTGGATGGAAGAATGGGTGGGAAATTTCCTTTTCACTTGGTGTTTGAAGCTAAGCTAAGAGTAGCGGAACAAGTCTCCTTTCTCACTGTCTTGTCTTTCAGCTGTAACATCTGAAGTGAAATGAACCAGCAGAAGGTTACGACTTCACAGCACAAAACTGCTCGTAATTCAGCACTGATTGACACTCTCACTCTGGGGATGCTGTAAGGATGGCTTGTGTGGCCATTACTTGTAAGACACTATTGTTACTCAAACATTGAGAACATTTGATTTGCATCTAATCTAATCCACGACTGTAATCTTTCAGCGCCTTGGGACGTCCTCCCGCCGTGAAAGGCGCTCTATAGATGTAATTTTGTTGTTGTTGTTGTTGTTGTATGGGGGTGGAGGGTGGGGGGGTTTCTGAGGCTGACACTGCAGAAAAAAATAAACATTAATTTCCACAACGCTTTGATATTTCTTTCTCTGGCAGAGTATAGGAAATCATGAAAATATAAGGACAATTTTTTTTAAAAAAGAGGCCAAAGAAGATGGCCAAAAATCTCCAAACTGTTGGCAGCAGAACTGTGGCCTGTCGCGGGTGTCAGAAAATAAACAATGGACCAATTTGGATCAGCTGTTCTCTTCCAGTTTCTTCACTCTATCTGGTTCTAATCTAAACATTTCACATATCTTTATGACAGGCAAAGTGGTTGCAGGACCGACTGCTGGTTTGTTGTCTCCAGCTGAGTTTTATAACTTTTCTTGAATTCTGTGCAGAGTTCAAGACGATCGCAGTGACGTTATTCAACCCAGAAGTTACCAGCGGAGGAGGAAACAACAGCACTCTCTATGGTGGAAAGATGAAACATTCCACAGGTTTGGCCCAGAGGCCAGCAACACATAATAATAATAATAATAATAATAATAATAATAATAATAATCCTTGCATTTGATATAGCATCTTATCATGTCTGTGAGATGTCTCAAGTTGCTTCACAGGATATGCTGTAAAGTGAATTGGCTGTATACACAAATGTATTCCAGGCACCTGGATGTGTGAAGAAAACAATTGATAGCTGGGAAAACAGGCCTCATTTAAATTAAAATACTTAGCAAATTTACAGTTCAGGGTTGCAGCCACTTAAAGTAACATGTCAATAAAGAATAATAATAATAATAATCCTCGCGTTCGAATTAATGCCTTTCATGTCGTAGAAACAATCTCAAAGAGTTTCACAGGATTGTATTGTGACGTGTTGCGGCTCTATTTGTATGCAGGAATGCTTGTCAACAGCAAATTCAAATATCTGCAGGCCCTGACTGTTTGTTATATAATTTTCCGCTGTTATTCTGCAAACCTGATGTAAGTATGCGGCAAACACAATCCTAGTGTGTGCCAAATAATTATGAATCACGGTTCATGTGGAAGGCATTGGCCTGTCTCATAATTTCACTCACGTAGTTTGCAACCTGAGAAGACATTCCCAGTTATCCCCACGATTTTCTGTATGAATCACCAGAATCCTTGTCACTGTTAATTTTGTCACCAAAGGGTGGTGGAAATCTGGAACTCTCTGCCCCAAAAGGCTGTGGATTATGGCTGGATCCATTCACATTTTCAAGACTGAGGTGGATAGCTATTTGTTAGGTCAGGGGATCGAGGGATACGGGTCAAAGGGCAGGTAATTGGAGTTGAGGAACAGATCAGCCGTGATCTTAGAGAATGGCGGAACAGGCTTGAGAGGTTGAATGGCCTCCTGTGTTTCTAAATTTATTATTTGGTATTTTATTAGATAGAATTTCTCAAACTAGCCATAAATTGCGAGAAAAAAACAAAAGAACAGCTTTCTGTATCCTTTAATTACCGGGCTAATTAAATAATTCAATAATTATTGGAAGCTGGGAGATGATCTTTGTTTGCATTCAGACCCATCGTTTAACTGTGCGCCTCTGACCAGAATCACTGGTATTGTTTCAATGTTGTCCGGGGATTGAACGAGTTCCAAGTGGCTGAGTGAC